TAATCTGGCTGCTGCATTCTGCACCATTTGAAGCTTCCACATCAGTCTCAAAGGTAGCCCCATGTAGAGCGCATTACAGTCGTCTAATCTTGAGATTACAAATGCATGGACCAGAGTGGTGAGGGCCCCACCATCAAGATAGGGCCGCAGCTGGGCAATCTGCCACAGATGGTAATTGGCGGAGCGGACCACTGACGCCATCTGGGTTTCCATGGAGAGCGCCAGGTCCAGATGTCCTCCCAAGCTGCAAACCTCACTCTTCGCAGTGAGAGTCATCCCCCCCCCAAAAGAGAGGGAGTTTCCCAAGCCGCCAATGGAGGGGCCACCCACCCTCAGGACCTCCGTCTTGTCCGGGTTCAGCCTCAACCCATTCTCCTGCATCCATTGCAGTACTGTCTCCAGGCAACGCTGAAGGGACAGAAGGGCATCCACTGAAGTAGGTGAAAAGGAGATGTAGAGCTGCGTGTCATCAGCATACTGATGACATGAGCCTCCACACCCCCTGATGATACCACCCAACACCTCATATAGATGTTAAACAGCATTGGGGAGATGATTGAGCCCTGCAGAACCCCACAATTGAGACTCCACGGGGCCAAGACATTCTCTCCAAGCTGAACTTTCTTGAGGACCGTCCTACAAATAGGATCGGAGCAAGGCAAACACCAGGCCACCAATTCCCAACTTGGAGAGTCTCCCCAGGAGGATACCGTGGTCGACGGTATCAAAGGCAGCTGAGATATCGAGGAGGACTAACAAGGACATTTTGCCCCTGTCAGTCTCCCTCAACAGCTCATCCAACAGTGTGATCAGTGCTGTTTCTGAGCCGTGCTGTGGCCTGAAGCCCGACTGGAATGGATCCAGGGCATTGGTTTCGTCCAAAAGAGCCTGAAGCTGATCAACCACCACCCTCTCGACCACTTTACTAAGGAAAGAAACATTGGTGACGGGCCTGTAATTGCCAGTATCCGCTGCCGCCAAATTTGGTTTCTTTCTTACGGGCCTAATAAGTGTCTCCTTGAGAGCAAGAGGAACCTTGCTCTCCTGGAGAGACCCATTAATTATCGCAGTAGTCCATTCTGTTGTTACAGGCCTGGCTTCTTTGATTAGCCAGGCCGGGCAAGGGTCAAGAGAAGAAGTGGTGGCCCGACAGTGATCAAGCGGTTTGTCCAGCATATCTGGTGTCACAGGCTGAAAAAATTCAAGACTCACTGGACAAGGCGGAGTGCTGGACATCTCTGCTCGATCCACTGTATTTAAAAAAGGAGAGTGATCCCGGTGGAGGGCCTCCACTTTAAATTTTAAAAATATTGCAAATTGGTCAGGTGAGATACTAGTAGTAGGCCCATCACCTATACCAAATCCGGTCTAGGTATTGTAAGCTGAGAAACTTTCGAAAGTATTCTGTTACGTTATAATGTATGCTACAGTATTACTTGTGTCACTGGTTTTGTAATCTGTAGTTTATGTTTCTAATGGTAGCATTATTTGGTTAAAATAGTTATTTATTAAAACAGATTACAATTGATTTTTTTAATATTTATTTTTTCCTTCTTTCCCCACCTGTGATCACTTCCAAGGAAGAAGAAGAGTCCTCAAAAAGCTGAGGTTTACCTTCAAGGAGCATTAAAAACCTACCTTGCTGAGGGATGGGCATTGCTTATTACACATACACGGAAGCAACTAGCAGAATGTCAGAAGCATCTTGGACAAATTGAAAAGTATCCTTCAAAAATGGGGGAAGTTAAAGATTTTTCAAATTAGTTTATGTGCATAATAGAATGTTCTTGGCTTAAATGAGATCCCCAGTATTACCTTTGAAGGACTGCATGAAGGCATCAAATTGGCTGAACATTCTTGATAAAAATTGAGAGCTTGTCTTTGACTAGTTAGCAGTTAGAGCAGCAATAACACCGAAAAGCTTCCTCTTTCTCTTTGTGTCTGCATAAAAATTAAATGGTAAAACCCAAAACGATATGAGATCTTCTATTTGTCATTCCAAATTAACACTTTGGCCAGAATCCTGTTGCACAACTTTATGCTGGGCATCTTGGATGATGTCATCAACCATGGCTGTTTAGAGGGAATTAAACATTTTCTGTTCTCCTTCCCCCAAGGTCCTAGGAATTTCTAGGGATTCCTTTCATCCAGGACTGGTAGTGGAGCCCCTCCCCACCATTCCATGCCTCCTAAAGGCTTCCTTGTTAACCTGTCCCTGGAATCTTGAGGAGGATATATTGCTTTTTATTGTCTCACGACAGCCATAGTTTATGACATCATCTGATCTATGCAGCATATGCAAGCAGATCCAGCCATTATTAATGCTCCAAAATCCATAATTAAGCAAACTTAAAGGTAACAAAAGATGTGTAAATTGCTGGGTCCTCTGGATGTCTTTATCAGACAAGACTAAATATGTTGTTGGGAGTAGGAAGGAAATAAAAGGCTGTCTTGATTATAAAGTCATGAAGTCTGATGGTCAGAATTAGAGATGGGGGTATTCGAATACAAATACCCCTGCACAGGTGGACATAACGAGGATCTGGCCACCTGGGGCCAGACTGTCCACTCACCGTTCCGCTGGTGCTGTGGGCTCCGCACACCCTTCCTGTTGCTCCGGAGCTCGCAGTCAACTAGGCACTCCTGGCAGGAGGCGGGACAACAAGCCTCCCTATCAGGCCAAAGAGTGGCTAGTTGACTGCAAGCTCCAGAGTGATAGGAAGAGTGAGTGGACAGTATGGTCCCTGGGGGCTGTACCCTTGTTATGTTCACCTGTGTGGGGGTATTTGAATACGAATACTCCCATCTCTAGTCAGAATCTTAAAAGGAGGAGGCTGCTGACATTTAAATTTGGTACAACCAGCCTCCACTAGGATGCAAGAAATGGATAGTGGCCAATACACTGTTTTTTAAATTATAAAATCTTGTTATTACTCAGAATTCACTCTATCTTTTGGTGAAACACAAACATTTTTTGGTAAGTAGAAACTAGAAGTCACTGGATACTAGACAGATAAAATTGTAGTCAATGTCCTAGTTAAGAGGGGGGCAATAGAAGCCAAGCTGGGTAGTTTTACCTTGTACATGAATAGGATAAATCCTCAAAGAAATTCAGAATAGTATTCGCGAAGGCTTTCACGGCCGGGATCTAATGGTAGTTGTGGGTTTTTCGGGCTCTTGGCAGGAGGTGGGACAACAAGCCTCCCTACCAGGCCAAAGAGTGACTAGTTGACAGCAAGCTCCAGAGTGATAGGAAGAGTGAGTGGACAGTATGGTCCCAGGGGGCCGTACCCTTGTTATGTTCACCTGTGTGGGGGTATTTGAATACGAATACTCCCATCTCTAGTCAGAATCTTAAAAGGAGGAGGCTGCTGACATTTAAATTTGGTACAACCAGCCTCCACTAGGATGCAAGAAATGGATAGTGGCCAATACACTGTTTTTTAAATTATAAAATCTTGTTATTACTCAGAATTCACTCTATCTTTTGGTGAAACACAAACATTTTTTGGTAAGTAGAAACTAGAAGTCACTGGATACTAGACAGATAAAATTGTAGTCAATGTCCTAGTTAAGAGGGGGGCAATAGAAGCCAAGCTGGGTAGTTTTACCTTGTACATGAATAGGATAAATCCTCAAAGAAATTCAGAATAGTATTCGCGAAGGCTTTCACGGCCGGGATCTAATGGTAGTTGTGGGTTTTTCGGGCTCTTAGGCCGTGTTCTGAATGTTATTCTTCCTGATGTTTCACCAGTCCTGTGGCCGGCATCTTCAGAGGACAGCACTCTGTGCTCTGGTGTAGTTTGCTTGGGAGTTGAGTATTTATGGCTGTGAGATAGGCTTTTGTCCTTTTCAGGAGATGGGTGATTTGTGTGTCTTGTTGTGGGCGTATTGTTATGATAAGGAGGAGAGATTACACTGTCACTGTCAACAAAAAAAGGAAAGTTTGAAACTCAACAAAACTTGGCTCCCAGCTCTGAAAAATAAAGCATTGAAAAGGTCAACGAATTCTCCCCAGCCACAAGGACCAGGGATCACTACACACGAAAGACCAGCTAATGACACCCATCAATCACAGTGACAGATAAAATCCCCCATCTTGTAACTGTGCATTTGGTTTGTTGTTCCAAGGTGCAGTGATTTTCACTTATCTCTGTTGAATGTAATTCTGTTGTTTTCAGCCCAGTGCTCTAGCCTATCAAGATCATTTTGAATTTTGTTTCTGTCTTCTAGTGTATTAGCTATTCCACCAAATTTTGTGTCATCTGCAGATTTGACAAGCATTCTCTGTACTCCCTCATCCAAGTCATTAATAAAAATATTGAATAGCACTGGGCCCTTGGGCACTGCACTTGTTACCTCCTCCAAGTTGGAGAAGGAGCCATTAATCATCACCCTCTGAGTATGATTCTGTAGCGAGTTGTGTATCCACCTGACACTTATCCAGCCCACACCTAGTTAGCTTGCTAATCTGGTTATCATGAGGCACTTTGGCAAAAGCTTTGCTAAAGTCAAGATATACTATGTCTACAGCATTCCCTCTGTCAGGGAGGTTTCCCAATAAAAAAAAGAGATCAGATTAATCTGGCAGGATTTGTTCTTGACAAATCTGTGTTGGCTTGTAGTTATCACTGCATTGTTTTCTAGGTGCTTGCATAGTGTCTGTGTTATGATTTGTTCCAGAATTTTCCCTGGAATTGACCTCAGGCTAACTAGCCTGTAGTTACCAGGTTCCTCTTTTGTCCTTTTTGAAGATAGGGACAACATTAGCCCTCCTCCAATAATCTCAGACCTCACTCATTTCCCATGATTTCAAGAAAATAATGGACAGCACTTTTGAGAATTCTTTGGCCAATTACAAGGATTATATTACTATAAATAATGGACAGCACTTCTGAGAGTTCTTTGGCCAATTACAAAGATTATATTACTATCCAGGATGTATTTTTAATGTAAAATGTGGTGTTGGGATAATCATTCATTTTGTTTTTGCCTCATTGTGTTGTGTGGGCTTTTTGTTTATTTGTTTTCTCCACACGCATGTATACAGACCTTTCTTCGTAGTTCCTTATCTCTGTTCCAGCTATCTCCAAACAAGCAGTCTTCTGGCTAGTGATAACAACTTAACAGAAGAAGACCGCAAACACTTTTGCCAAGAAATACTAGATTTTGCCAAACAACCTGCAGAAGAAGGTAAGAGTTTAGAAATGCTTATTGTAAAACTTCAGCCAGACTATGTTTTCTTAAGCAAATTCACTGTTGTGAATGCTTTTGAAAATAAAAAATCCATTTCTTACTTAAAACCCACACTGTTTTCTGGTGAAACACAATTTGCTTTTTGAAGGAATTGTTTTCTGCAGGTGTTTGCTGGTTTTAGTTAGCTCAATATATCATGTGCAGCCCTCTTTTGGTCTGCTGCCTTATTTGATGAGTAGCAGAAAGTTACAAAAATTGAAAAGACATTCTATTTTCATTAGATCTGTGCAGTTTCATGGGAGCACGTATCATTAGATCTGTGCAGTTTCATGGGAGCATGTAGAGGCTATTGGTTGCCCTGGCCTAACGTTATGACAGTGAACCTTCAATGATGCAATAATGGCTTTTGGCCTATGTTTTATCTGTAGTTGTTTACTGTGTTATTAGATGTCTTAAAAGAAGATGTTGACATGGAAGTTTATCTTTTCTGCTTTTCAAGGTTATGTAAATTGTATTTTAATTGTAATATATTGCTGGTCTTTGACCTTAAATATACGATTGATTTGGAGCACATAACATTTGCAGAATGTGGCTGCATTACTTAGCCTTTAATTTGTGTGAAGAAGATCACATTTCTAGTCCTTATGGTAGACAAGATATGGTCAAAAGTGTGAGAGCCATATCTGCAGACATCTTAGAAGCTGGAGGGAATGGTTATTTCAAGTTTGGAACCCAGGATTCAGTACCCTGCATAATTTTTCCTTCTAGTCAAGGGGAGGAGAAATCAGAGTAAACTAGGTAAAGTATGCATAATAAGATACAGAATTGGAGAAATTATGCAAATGTTTTTAATTTGCTTAATATGAGATTGCAAATGTTTGCATTTTTACATAGGATTTTAATGTACGTATATTTAACTGTTCTGTCTGTACAAGTCTTGAATTAAATGCATAAGCAATAACATTATGACTACATTCCAAAGGGTACTTCAGGTACTTCTCTTGAGTTTTGCATTTTTACACAGGATTTTAATGTATAATTAACTGTTCTGTCTGTACAAGTCTTAAATTAAATGCATAAGCAATAACATTATGACTACATTCCAAAGGGTACTTCAGGTGAGCTGAAATAATTGTTAGTTTCTCTTGAGGTTTGGATACAGTGTACTATAAATCTTGATCAAGTTTACCAAGATAAACAACACTATAAGCTACTTTCTCTGCTTGACTAGCATGAATGACTACATTCCAAAGGGTACTTCAGGTGAGCTGAAATAATTGTTAGTTTCTCTTGAGGTTTGGATACAGTGTACTATAAATCTTGATCAAGTTTACCAAGATAAACAACACTATAAGCTACTTTCTCTTCTTGACTAGCATGATTACAGTGTACTGTAAATCTGTATTATTATTTATACTGAGATCAACGAATTATGAGCTTATTGTGTACACTTGGCTAACTAGTGTTGGCCAAATAAACATTGCTTTGGTGAAAACTAGTGTGCTAGCAAAATGTAATCTTAGTCACATTTATCTTTCTTTCCAGGCCAGAAGGTTACATTGCCCATGCTTTCCTTCGCACAGTTGAAGAATCTACATTTTGATCCTCCTAATGCTGTGATCCACGTAGGTGGAACACTGTCTGTAGAATTGACATTAGAAAATCAGATGCCTATCCCAGTGAATGTGGATCACATTGCTATTAATGTCCATTACAGCATTGAAAAAAATAGCTACAGGAAGACAGCAGAATGGCTTACAAAACACAAGACTTCCAATGGTATTATAAGCTTTCCAAATGAAGTTGTAGGTCTGTCTCTGGGAAGAGGTAGCCTTCCAATGCTGGAGTTGTATGAGATGTATGAAAGGAGCCCATCAGATAATTCTTTGAACACAACTGGCATCATCTGCAAAAATGTTCACATGTTGTTACGAAGGCAAGAGAGCTGTTCTTCTCTAGAAATACCCATGGGGCTGACTCTTGAGGATGGTGCCCATGTGTTAAAGTGTAGCAACTTCATGCTGGAACCAGGAGTCAATAAAATTGCTTTCAGAACCCAGGTATGTTTTTATAGAAGGTGTAGAGTAACCCATAATTGCTATGTCTCTTTAACTTTGCAACTTATCTCCTGCCTTCTTCATCCTGTTTTAGGCTGTGCCTGACATATCTGGCTGGATCTAGGATTATTCTTCCTAGAGAAAATTTAAAAACAATGGCTGAGATCATGTTGGCACAGGTCTGAGCACATAAGGCTGTCAGCCATGGCCTTTTATCTTTAATTAAATATTTTCCTCTCTCCACCCCTATGTTCTGATATCCCTAGTGATCCCTTTTGATCTTGGGAAGCCTTTGGGGTTCTCAGGATGGTGGGAAAGCCTTCAGTGTCTGAAAATTATCACCATCAATCCCAGATATTAAAGGCCTTCCCCTTGTCCAAAGGGTCCTAAAGTCTCTCATTGATCAATCCCTTCCTCAGCCCTAGGGGACCTCATAACCTGACATGGAGGGAATAAAACACTTTTGATTAAAGTTAAAAGACCTTGGTTGATGACATCATCAGCCTTATATGCATGGAGCTGTTTCAGTAGGATTCCAGATATTATTTTCAGTCCTTGTCACTTCTCTAAAGCGCTTACGTAGCTAATTGGTTAGAATTAGCATTTCTTCTCTTGTGCAACCAATATGATTTTCTTGTAAGATTTTTTTTTGGTGGTCTGAAGCCAAGGTTAGCAAATTGACGATGTCACCACAAGCCAAAATAGGTTTTAACAGTGGTACATTAACTAATGCATCACTCAGTAATTTTCCGGTAATATCATTCAATTGCCTGTTAGCCACCTTTTGGTTGCAGATAGGAATTACAAATACATGAGTTGTGCATTATTAATTACCACAAAGTTTTAAAAAATTACAAAAGTGGACTTCCTCTTATTGCTCCTCAGCAACCATAAATACAATCTATGGCTGATTTTCCAAAAATACTGAAAATGGGTGTCTGTTAATAATGTAGCTGAAAACAATGGTTGCTTATGAGTTTATCACTTAATTTTCACAAACCAAATTGTTTTCCATAAGACTTAAATTTAATTGCTCTCTATTTTTTATGCAAGTTAAACACATTTTCCCAGTTAGGCCTATTGTTTTTGTTGGTTACTGGTTGAGAAATGTAATTAAATATCTTGAAGCTACAATTTCCATTTCAACTCTTGATTACCCATCAATTCATTGGCTGAAATCCTGTCACTTAGTGTAGTAAGTTGCACTAGAGTAGGCCCATTGACTCACTAGGGATTTGGTTATTCAACTCCATCAGTTCCAGTGATTCAAATGGCCGTACTCTAGTTGCAAACTACTATGATATGGTACATTGCAACTAGAGGAGGCCCATTTGAATCAATGGAACTTATGGAGGAGTTGCTAATCAAATCCCCCCTATCAATGGGCCTATTTTGTAAGTTGCTACACTAAGCAGCAGGATTTCAGCCACTGTGTTTTAATTTTAAGAATGTGTGTTTGATTTATAAGAGTCCTCTCTCTCTGTCTGTCTCTAAATATTCTTCTTATATGCAGAAAGTAAAACAATATTTTAAAAATACACCTGAAGCTACCCTAACACTTGTTCTCTCTGAACAAAAATCATGGGCTTACCAATAATCCTATGGGTGTGATATCACAAATATTTAGTATCAGAATGCAGTTTGTTCTGGATAATTATAAGCTCTGCGAATATTAAGGAATTTATTCCTTTGTACAAATATTATTTATGCCAAATGATCTTCTGACAATTATTTTGATGTCCTTTTGAAAGTTTTTTAAAAATTTCTCATAGGGCAAAGAACCTGGGACATACACACTCAGGCAGTTATGCATTTCAGTGGGCAAAATGCAATTTGTCCTTCCTCATATTTACCCGATTGTACAATATGATGTCTACTCTCAGGAGCCACAGCTAAAAGTAGAACCTTGTGCTGGTAGGTAGATTAATTAGTAAATGCACTGCATCACTTCTCTCTCAACATATATAAATGACTGACTGTCCAGTTTGGAACACAACAGGCAAGTTGTGAACTAAGTTGATCAATAATATATTTCAATGTAATGTATTTGTTCACTACCTTGATTGTTTTACTTGTCAGACAGCCATATTTGAATAAATACCTCTTGCCAGATAGTTACAGCCAACAATTGTATGTTTATACTCCTGCAAAATAGTTGGTAAGATTTAGAGGAGTTCCATATCAGCATGCCTGTTTCTTGAGAGCAGTGGTTCCCAGCCTTGAGTCCCCAGATGTTCTTGGACTACAACTCTGATAAATTCTGACCAGCACACTTACACCTAGTGGTGAAGGCTTCTGGGAGCTTTAGTCCAAGAAGTTCTGGGGACTCAAGGTTGGAAACCACTGTTTTAGAGGCAAGTGGGCATGTTATACTTCTGCTTAGTGGGGTCAAAGGATCTTCCGGTCTTCTCATTACCACTCAGTTGGCACCCACTATAAGGTAGATTCCTGTAGTGTCCATTACAATGCCTGTGCTCATTTGAGAGAGTGAAGCACAGTGTAGTCTACCTTGCCTCCTTTTTCTTGGTTTTAGTAAGGTAGTGTGATATGCATCTAATACAGGAAACTACTCCGTTTCTTTAAGAACTTCTCAGAAGGAGGAGGATCTTAAATATGTTTGGCGTTCTAAGGCTATTGCTGGAAATACTATTGCATAGCTGAAATCCACTATTCTATTAGAATTCTTTGTATGATTACAGGATAGGCAGAAGTTACAATAGGAAAGCTTTGCCTATTAAGAGTAACTGAAGTATATTTAATGTAATGATAAAGACTGTCTAACCTGAACATAGATTCAGTAAAGGTTTATGATCATATTCACAAATGTCTATTCATAAATGATCTTTTGTCTTTATAATGAATTGTGTTTCTCTTTAACATCATATCATATTTTTTCCAGATAGCCTTTTGGCTGGCATTCCTCAGAAGGTAAAATTTACAGTGACTACTGGCCATTATACCATAAAGAATGGAGATGCACTACAGCTAAGTAATGCTGATGCCATGGTAGTCTTGTACCACCCAGAAAGTAAAGCTGTGATTTACTCAAACACTAAAGGTATGCAGCTTTAATAATTTACTCATTTTAATTTCTGCATACAAAATATGAACAAGAGGAGAAAAGAAAGAGGCTTGATCTGAATGCTTTGTAATGACTAATGTAAATATAGTTATTATACTGTAGTCATTATAAAATGTTCTTTACAAAATGTTAAGTTGACCATAATTTACACTGCAAACCACAATTGTTCTAGATATAAGGCAGACCATGATTTCTGGGTTTTCTCCTTTTTCGCACACATCAGAATTCTCAGGTGCTGTTTCAGCAGCAGCCTCCCAGGGTGCAAAAGTGTCTCACTGTTTTGGTTTGTTGGTGCAAAAATATTGGTTCAGATTTCACAAACCATCACCTGACATTATATCTGTACCATCTCATTATCTCCACCTCCATTTTAATTTTGAATGTTCATATTTCTCTTTCAAATACAAGTTTCCAAAGGTGTCTTCTGGAGAATAAATACCATTTCTGGTGACCTGCTAGGCTATCACTGGGCAGAACATCCCATTGGCATATTTTGTTTGTTTGTTTATTTATTTATTTTTGCCCCACCTTTCTCCTCGAGAAGGACCCGAGGTGGCTTACAACAATGAAAGACAATATTTAAAGTTGAAAATAATGAGTATACAGCAGTGGTTAACATCTTTAAACGATGACATTTAAAAATTATGAACAATGAATAAGGAGACTTCTTACATCAATTAACAGGTAATATTAAGGCAAAGATGAGTAAATATACAAACATTTTAAAAATGTCACTCTGAGAAATTGAAAATGCAAAATTGGAAAACACAAGTAGTACTAACAATCCAGTTAAAGCAGTAATGCATAACAATCTGTCTAAAAATCAAAAGGGTAGCTGGTTAATGAGGGAAAGCTTGTAATGTGTGGTAATGTGGAATCATGCCACTTATACAAGCATTGTTGTCACACAAGTGGACAGTTGGCCTTCTGGACAGTCACCATTTGTGCAATGGATAATGCTTATGCAAGCAACGTGATCCACATTACAATGGTGGTAGGACTTTCCACTCAGTGAAAAATCAGTAGGATATAGGCCCATGTATTTCATGTTTGAAATACATTTTCTAAATTACAGAACCTATTTTATATTTTATGTAACAGGAGAAAAAGCATCAGAAGTACCACTAATCATTCAGTCATCTGAGAAAATCACAAGCATTAGCTTACCAATGGCTCCTGCATATCATGTGATTGCCTTTGAGCTCGAAGTTTTGTACTTGCCATCAACCCCAATAGGTATAATGGAAAATGAGCATCAAGTCAGTAAAGATGTTCGGCGAAAAAGTAAAGAGAAAGAGACATCTAACAGTGGCATGGCTGCAGTTGACCAAAAGGTAAGCAAGTATGAATAGTGGACTTTTTAGTTTTAAAAACTTGTTTTGGCCTATGAATAATAAAATGATGAACTAGGATTATGTAACCTTTCAAGTAAAAACATTAATTACTTTTTTTAATATTGACTGTCGTGCTTCCCACTGCAGCCTGTTCCTGCTATTGTTCATTCCTCTGATAGTGTTTACGTGATAGTATAGTATTCTCTTCACTATTCTGGGTAAACTCTCACATTCAACTTTTTTTAAAGTAAAATATCCAGACATTACTTCCTCAGGGAAATCATGAAAGGATTTGAAAGTTTCAACTTGCTTACTGTATAACAGTTTCCATGTCCATGGTATACAGAATCTCCGGAGCAACAGTGCAATAATTCTGCGATCAAAAAGGCTCAGAACTTGCTTTGTTGTGTTCTGTGATAAAGTACTTGGGTTTATTGGCAGTTGCATAAAATAATAAACTTCATAGGTTTTTGATAACTATCTTTAATATCATTCTGTCTTTCTTACAGATAACTGTTGATTGTCCATGGTCAATTTACTCTACCATTATTGCTCTTACATTCAGCATACCCTTTAGGGCCAAGCATTCTTTATTATCTACAGGCAAAAGGTAACCCCCTCAAGATCTCATTCTCATTCCATCATTAAATATGTATCTTACTGCTGTAGTTAAGCACATTGTGAAAGGGCAAAGGATTAGAACATACCTTTTCACCCCAGACTGGCCTGTGGGTTTCCTGCTTTTCTTGTTTAAGTCAAAATCTTGCATCCATTTACCCAGGAGTAAATCCTGTTGAATTCAATTGGACTTGTTTCTGAGTAGTGATGCATAAAATTGTATTGGCAATTATAGGGTTGATTTTTAAGTACTTAAGCTTAATAGTGTTTCTCAGTATAATAATGTTGGTTTTTCTCTTTCTTTTTAGGAAATATATACAGATTTCTGTGCAGAACATGTCAGAAATCTCTTTTCATTTATCTGACAGTAATCTGAAAAGTTTTGAGAATGGTGCAGATTTAAGTCTTGAATCTCTAAATTGCAAAGCTAAACAGGTAAACAATCTCATGTTTTGTTGTTCTAACTAGGTAGTATGAGGAATGCACACTATGGCTCATTGTCTCGTACAACATCCAGCTATTACCCAATTGCTTATTGCAGAAAGCTGCAGCACAGATACTGATTTTGTAAGAGAGTAGGCAGAAACAAAATGTGTCCTGGAAACTGCATTATTAGTATGTGATATACCCAAAAGGTATTTGGGAATGAGAAACAGAGCAGCTTTTGCACACACACAGTGATTACTGGCTTTGCTCTTTTCTTATTGCCCCTTGAAGAATTTTAAACAATACTTCAGCAATTTGAGGGTATGTTGAGAATGAAGTTTTGGGAAGATCTTTGACAAAGTTTTAAAAAAAACCTCAAACATTGAGCCATGGAGGATACTTGTACTGATGGTTTTAGGTTTTTTGGGCTGTTTCACCGTATTCTGGAGGTTTTTTTCCCTATTGTTTCACCAGTTTCTGTGGCTGGCATCTTCAGAGGACAGGAGTTAGAACTCTGTGTTCTGGTGTAGTGTGTGGGATAGTTGAGTATTTGTAGCTGTGGGATCAGCTTTTTGTCCTTTTCAGAAGATTGGGTGATTATGGTAATCAGAGTATTTTTTGTTATGGGTTTAGTATTGTGATAAGGGGGGAGATGATCCGGTGAATCCTTCAACACCTGTGGGCCCAGTCTGTTGAACTATGCCAAAGTACAGTTCATGCCCATCTGTATTTGAATCTTAATATTGTGATAAGGGGGGAGATGATCCGGTGAACCCTTGCCACACCTGTGGGCCCAGTCTGCTGAACTGTGCCAAAGTACAGTTCATGCCCAACTCTATTTGAATCTTAATGGTTGCAAATCTTTTCCTAGTTCTTGAATTAGAGCTTTCTTCCGTAAAGATGTATTTATCCAAATTTGATAACAAGTCACCTAATCCTACTGTCAGTAAATAAATGCCTAGTAGTAATTGTATGTACGGTGAAACGTAACTGATGTTTGTGAAATGGAACAGGATGGAAATTCTGTGTTTGTATCTCAACATGTGTGATTAATATGTTGTTTATCTTTGGTGATGTCTCCCTAATATTACCAGGAAAAAAAAATCTTTGTTAACCCAATGAAAATGGTGCTTCTCTGGGTTGCCTTTGTTGTGGTGGTGGTGGTAGTGGTGTAAACAGTCACTTGTTCTCTGAATCCATCTGTGAATCCTGTCTCCTTCTGGAAGTTGGGGCATAGATCCTGGACTAGGGGCCATAGAGAACTATTACAAGCACATTAGTATAAATCTACACATGGACCTTTGAGTGGATTTCTGTTGTACACTACTTTGAAATGGAGTACAGTAATGCCTCGCTTAGTGGTCACTCTGTTGAGCAACGAAATTATTAGGGAGTTTCCTGGATCGAACCGGGGTGGCCGCCGCCCCCCCGTGATCAACAGGCTTTCTCCCCCAGTTCACCACCCCTCCAGGGTGGTTCCGAAACCCTACGGTGTCCGAAAATGGGTCAGAATTCAGCCCAGGGGACAGAGCTCTGCCCTCCTGCTGCTGTCTCGTCGCGACGTCAAGCCAGAAGTTGTTTTAATGCGTTTCTATGGGCTTTTTAATTTCATTTAGCGATGAAATCGCTTAGCAACGTTTTTTTCCTGCACGGATTAATGTCGCTAAGCGAGGCACCACTGTACTCACAAAAACAATGTACATTGAAAACTGTATGCAATAAGTAGAAATGTATCACCATCATAGGGTTATTTTAATAGACACATTTATTTAGGTTTTGGCAATTTCATAAAGCCATTGTCCTTTACACGTAGTAGAAAAATATTAATAAACCAAAATTATGAGAAAACTATCTATTATACTTTCTATATAATAATGTATTCTTATTTTACTGTAAGATATTAAAATATTGCTGTATCACCTTTTGCTGGCTAAGGCCAGCTTGTTTGCTGACAAGATCATCCATTGCTACCGTATTGATTTAAACCTCTCCCTTTCAGTGCATCTACAGTAAGCAAGCAGTGTATTTTGTCTGGGAATTGAAATGGAAAAAAGAGCTTCCTTCATATTTGCAGTGCCAGTTCTCACTGAGCTTTTCATCAGCACCCTCTGAAGAGCATTCGCTTTCTCTGAAGCCGTACACTTACGAATTCCAACTGGAAAACTTTTTTGTATGTTATTGGTACCTTGATACAGAACAGCTATCCTAGACAGGGTCAATATTTTCCAGATGGGAATCAGATTTGCAAAGTATAGATTTAAAATGTGTACATGGGATGGATAGGAGCTGTAAACTTATTACAGTACTGAAACTGTAGCTGGGTTATGCTTTGCACTTGTTACACAGAGACCACTTAAAACAGTTTCTACTTGGAAGGCATCTAAAGCAGAGGTCCACAGCCTTGTGAGTCACATATGTTGCTTAGGAGTTTGTGCTGTGCAGTTTCAAGCACCAAGCCTCTTTTCTCTTTTCCACCAGTTATCTATCTCCCTAGTGTTCCTGAAACAGATCACGCCTCACTTGCAGGCAGCAGCAGAGAAAGAACAATCTCTGTGACATTAGTGGGAAATCAGCTAGGTAGAGAACTTGATAGTGGCAGTGAGATGATGCACCTTGAGGGCCTCCTCTCGAGGTTTGAAGAGCTTCAGTTTATGCACCCCTGGCTTAGGGCATATCTGTAGATTGTGTTGTATCTCTTTGCCACTATTAAACTTTCTGATGCTGTTTGGTGGTAACACAGAGATTTTCATGAGATAAGACTAAACCATAAGCATTCTATTCATTATAATCACAGCTGAGGCAGACATTATGTATTGAATGTAGTATGTTGAGTTAGCTTAGAGATCTGTGTTTTCAATAAAATAGATAATACATTCCTTTAAAACACTATAAAACTGATTTTACAATAAGTATTACATTGCAGGATTCTTAACCTTCATTTCTGCAGCTTGAGGCTATGTTCTGCAAAGATGAGGGATAAAGGCTCACTCCTGTAGATATAACTATTTGTAGATAGTGATATTTCTTGCTCATTTTAAATTGTGTGGAAATATTGCATGTTGTATGTATTAAAACATTGACCATAAATATCATTATGCTCCTGCCAGACATTGTACAACGTGAAAGCTGAGATTTCGCCCCCATCGGGGGCAGAATACTGTAAAACAGGCTCACTCTGCTCATTGGAAGTGTCAATAACTCGCCTTTCAGACCTCCTGGATGTGGATAAAGATGAAGCATTAACAGAATCTGATGGATACTGTACAACGAAATTAATGTATGAAGGTAGGCATACCGATTGGACTTCATGGTATTGTGTTTAAGACTTGGGTTTCTTGGTCGTGGTGGTTACTTGCTTTTTTTCTTTGGAATCTCAGTACAATGAAGATTTAAACTAAACTTCTGTAATTACCCCATAGTTATTTACTTACCTCTGTCCCATCTTTCTCCTGAAGAGAAAACCAAGATGGTTTCAAAATTGTCAGACACTGATTATTATTAAGTATGCTACAGGACAGTCCATGCATGTTTACTCAGATGTAAATCTAAGTAGCGTTGTAGCCCTAATCTTCCTGCAGCATTTTAGAGAAGCAGATTCTTAAAACTTATCAGTATTTTAAAGAGATATATTAATATAAATAAGGCGTTAATCAGCAGTTGGAGGAGAGGGGGCTGAAAAATCTGTCATGTGCGTATGCACTAGATGCTCACTGCTTCACTTCTTAAAACCAGCCTTCTAGTCTCACTTTACCCCATTAAGTGGCCTTTACCTTACTTGCTGAATAAGGAGTTATTTTAAGAAGCAAGGTAGATGCCTGTAACTTACAAACAAGAGTGGGCTATTCTATTGAATCCCCAGTTTCACTTTGCGCTGCAGTGTGTTGTAAAATTTATGATTGGACTTCTCCCCCTTCCTCGTGCATGTACATCATATAAAGGATCTTACAGCTGTAGCTTATATCATAGTGTAAATGAATGTATGAGTAAATGAAACTTGGATTTCTTTTTATAACCATTTGTCTTTATTTCAGTTGTAGATAACAGTAGTAACTGGGCAGTCTGTGGAAAAAGCTCAGGAGTGATATCAATGCCAGTTGCTGTCCAAGCAACCCACAAAGTACACATGGAAGTAATGCCACTCTTTGCTGGTTACCTCCCTTTTCCTGATGTTAGGTTATTTAAATACCTCCCTCACCATTCTGCACACTCTATGCAGCTTGATGCTGGTAAGAATGTATTTATTTAAAAGTTATGTGGAAAACCTAACTAAAAACATCTGTTTTTTTTCTGTAAAGAATGCTGATGACAGTGACAGAGTATTCAGAGTATACTTGGAAATCCTTGACTATTTATTTGGATATTTATGTTGATGCTCCCCTTCTGTGAAAATGAGATATAGTCTGGTGATACTTCAAAAACTGTGTTTCTTTTGGCACACTGTTGCCCACTTCTTCAGATTGTGCCAGTGAAGACAACTTAGTCTTTAATGTATCACAGCACTCTTTGTTGTTTTTGCTACAACATACCTATGCCCTTACTAAATTCTGAAAATATGGTTAAAAAAAATTAGGTGAGCAAATAGGAAAAACACCATGGGTGGAAATACCCACCAGGATTTGAGCTCTTGGATTTTATTATTGTTAATAAAATTTAAATCCAACCATTTTAGTAGTTAAACTGAGACTTGAATAACAGAGAATAACAGCCCCTTAAAATTAGATTAAACATTGTTTCTTATTCATCTGTGACCAGACAAGCACAGTTTCTGAAATCAGGCCAAGCTTTAACAATGTAGCAGGCCTTTGTTCTTTGAATAGCTGCGCTTCAAAGACTGAAGCAGAACCTAGTGTTGTGTTGATGTATGCATTATTTAGAACCAGTTCTTGGACACTACCCTTACTTACAAGACTGAGATGGATAGATGCCTAGATAATGATTTAATGGTTTCTTGCATGTGTGATGGTTCCAGTAAGTGCACAGAAATCTATAAGTATTAGGTCTTCTCCATTAATTGCAATACTTTGTTTACAGCATTTATAGATTAATGTTTGGATAAGATACTCAGTTAAAAGCTTTTTAAAATCAAGACAGAAAAGGCAAAATTTAAAAGAGGAGAATTGTCCCAGACCCTTTAGTCTCTTCACTAGCCAACTAAAAGAGCTGGACTTCTCTGCCTTCCATCCAAGGCACCCAAGTCTTTGGCTGTAAGGAAGGGAGTTGTCATTGCTGGGTACTCTCAGGCCATTGGCAGCTATTTCATGACCTGGAGTTATGATCTTTCTGGCCTAAGCTTGCATAGAGCACACTGTAGGACAGATCTAAATGCATACATTATTAAACAGTGCAATAAAGTCTCGTTCTTGAAGCTGGTATTGAATGAATAAATTGATTATTACTAATACTGTAGATGCACAGGGAGCAATGCTTTGTATTTTTGTTTTGAAACAGATAGTTGGATTGAAAATGATAACCTCTCTGTGGATAAGAATATGGATGATCAAGCTGACAGCAGTAGCATAAAGAGCAGAGGCAGCATACATTCAGCAGCCAGTGCAGAACACAAAGGTTTGCCAATGCCCCGGCTGCAATCATTTTCTCCAGGACAGGTCTTCAATTCCAGCGCTGGCATGCAAATACTTGTTATTCCCAGCAAGGATGATCATATTCTGGAGGTCAATGTCACATGACAGCTGTCTTTCAATGAGGATAGATATGCACATGAGACTTGAATTTAAATGCACTTTAAGGGATTATAACCTGATTGTTCTTCACTGAAACATTCTAACGCTAACAAGGCCTATGGCAACGCAACCCTTCCTGGCCCTGGAAGCATCAAATAATTGTATCAATTTAAATGTACAGTGATGCCTGTGTCAGCTAGTTTATATTGCTACGTTAGAGTGTTTTGTGTCTAAAATGAATTTTGGGGTTTGGGTTTTTTTTTTCTGTCATCCTGCTGGTGAAATAAAAGATGCTTAATCTAATTGGTTCTTTAATTTCAGCAGTTCTCTGAATTGCAATTTATTTGGGAGTAATTAGATTTCTTTTCAAAAATATTTCAGGTTGACATATAGTAAGCCTTGCAGTGTGGCTGTTAATGACTGAAGTGTGGGCTTTCCTTGTCACACGTCTGTCAGGTTTCCTGGACCAGGATAACTCTCTGTATAATACAGTGTATGATTCCTAATCACAGAGCTGTCTGCAAGATTCTAAATATGTGTATATATTTTCTTGAAGACTTCACTTCTGTGCCTTGGAATATATTACATTTTTTGGCCCGCTAGCACTTCTGAACTCATACCATGTAGAGAGCTGTTACTTAAATTCACCAAGGGAAAACACACAGACAGGCAAACACACATTCATTCCTTTCTATTGTGGTGCAAGTAATGAAGTGGCACACAAGTGGTTAAGTTGAGAGTAAAAATTCACTGGATTAAGTTCTCCCCCAAGATTGATATTTAAGTGAGTTACTATATTGAGTCTAATTATATAGCTTTTTAATTCAATATTTCACTTGATATTTAAGAAAACCAAAGTTTCTTTTCCCCCGTTCCAACTGCTGTTAACTTATTATGGACTACAGAGCCATATATGTATTTGCACCTTATTCTAAAATAATTGGAGATAAATAGAGGGAAGAGTTGTAGAGAACCTTATTTGATTGATCTTATAGTTTAGTTATAGGGAGGTTTAAGGTCCTGATTTGAATCCCTTCTGGTCCAGCAAACTACAGTTACACCATACCAACTGATTGTTTTTCAGTTGTAAATGTATTGTATAAATGATTATTTTTAAAAGTCTAAACTAACCTAACTGATGTAATGTCTGTGTATAATTTGCTCTGGGAATCAAGGACAAAATAAATGTGTTTTTATTCGTGTGAAAGTCAAAGCTTGTAAATAAGTCTAGTGTGTAGAATCTTTTCCAGTTCTCAGAAACTATGTATTTTTGTACATAAGCATTTCTCTAAAATTCACTGCTGCAGTCTTAGCTGCTGTTCATGCCTGTTACTGGCTTACACAATTATTTTCTAATTGCAACGTATGTAGCCTCTTACCAAGCAGCCTCTTTCCTATGAACAGGCTTTATAGGAACAATGAGAATTCTTGGTTGTTTCCATGTTTTAATACCGTGGGTGGGCGGGGGGGGGAGTGTTGCATAAGAAACCAGAAATCCAAATCCTTCAAAGTGTTAAGACTTCGGTGATGTGTGTGTATTTTAACATTGTGCATCTCTGTTCATTCTTGATTACTTTTAAGAGCAATTAAAGTTTATTTTTAGAGAAAATAAGACAAGTTGTATGTTTACCAGTATTTCTTGATTTTGAAACTTGACTTAAAATATAAACATAAAGTTTAATATTCTTATCACAGTAGAAATTTTAGTGGATTATTCCTGCTCATGAAATTACTGTCTGAGGTTTTGTTTTGTTTTTTGCAATTTGCTTTAATTCACTCAGTAAAAACATGTGCAATATCTTAACCACTTTTTCAGCAAACTTATCTTTTACTTTGTTACTTCACTTGTAAGAATTAATGAGACCACACAATGTTCTTATGTACACACTTTATATTTAAATTAGAAAATGTACTGAATCTGAAGGAGGTTATTTTACATTAAAAAGTTGTGAAGAGATCTAAAAATACATTTAGAATGTGGTGGCAACTTGATTTATTGTGAAAATTCAAAGGCAGGATGGAGTTTTATTAGCAATTAGTATCACTATTTTCTGGATTGGTTCTAGGGTGGCATAAGATTTCTCACATTTATGTTGAAATGAGAAATTTCACTAAAATACAGCAAAATCATATTCTAATCACTACTTAAGAAGATACTTGTGTATAGAAGGGGAGGGAATTGGTTTCTGGGCAAAGATGTAAATAATTGATTCCATATGTGTATCTGCAAAACTACAGATTATACTATTTATAGATATCTTTCAAGCTTGTAAATACTATCAAATGAGTTAAAGGAGTATAATTTTTGTGAATTTCACAGATTTGTGATTGGAAAAATTACTCCTATGGAAATTGCTGACCTTAATGTGACATTTCTGGTGTTTCTTATCTGCAGTTCTATAAGATCCTATTACAATACACAGAGGACTAAATGTAGAAAAGTAAAGAGGAAACAAGAATACCTAGAAATCCCATTACAGTTTTATTTCTGATTGAAAGTGGTGCCATGAAACTTGGGGAATATATGTTAATAAAAAACAAAGCAAACCGGTGGATAAAGTAAATAAAAACTTGGATATTTTAAACAGATTGCTTACAGTTCTTCTGAAATTCAAGTTTTGTTGTGTTATGTTCTTTGGTTTGAGATATTTGGATATGAATAATGATAATGTGCCACCAAGTCAGTTCTGAGTTATGGTGATCCTTTTCAGGGTTTTCTAGGTACAGAATACTTACAAATGGTTTACCATTCCCATCTTCTGCAGGCACTCTATGACTGTGCAGCTTGCCCATGGCCACATAGGCTGGCTGTGCTCCCAGGAGGCACAGTAGGGAATCCAACTCCCACCTTCTGTCTCCACAGCCAGATATGCAAACCACTAAGCTAGAAGAAGCCCTAAATCAGTAATCTGGGCTAAGGGGCAGAGATTTCTTCCATTAGTAGCTTTTCTTCTCTAGTTTACTCCACAGGACCAGGCGGTATTGCAAGAAAATACCAAGCACCTCACGATAAATTAAAGTGCATAGCAGAGGCTGTCAACCCCCGGTCCACAACCCGGTGCTAGTCCGTGCCCTGAGCTGGACCAGGCCGCGGAGACAGACCTCCTGCCCCCCCGCACACACTCCCCTCCCCGCAGCTGTTTTGCGCACATGCTCCCCCATCCCTTCATGCATGCACCTGAGCGAAGGGGTGGGCGGGCACACAGGCACTCCTGCAGATGCGTGAAGGGGTGTGGGAGCGCTCATGCCGGCACTGGCGGGCACATGGACTCTACCACTGCTTCGCACATGCACCCGAGAGAGCGTGTGGGGGGTGCCCTGCCTTCCTCAGAGGCTCAGCCAGTACGCGGTCCCAAAAAGGTTGGGACTGCTGGTGTATAGGATTTAGCTACTGAAGCTATCTTATCGTCTTTAGGTTAGCTTTGTAATTTCGTAAGCAGTACTTATGCTAATTGGAGGTTTCAGACCAGCCACAACCACAATAAGCTTATGTACTTTGGAATCCTGATAAAGACAGATTTACTGCATAGTTGGTTGACAGGTAGGCAGCATGATCTAGGACAGCAAAAGGAAACACATGGCTGTCCTTATATGTTGGGGAGTCCCTGATGTCCTTGAAGCCGGGCACCACATAGCTAGTCGCCCCTCCCACCCACAGAAAGGTTACTCTGACTTAGGAAATTGAAGGGTTTTTGTCTGTTTATTTAAAACATTTTTACCCTGCCTTTCTCCTTAAAAAGACCCAAGGTGGCTTACATTATTAAAAGACAATATTAAAGCTAACATCAGTGAGTATACAAATAGTAAAAAGGATCAGTACCATAAAAAATAACACCAAAACACATTCAAAGCAGCAAAGTACAACAGTCTGTTTAAAAATCCTCCTCAGGCAGCCAGACAGAGAAAGCTTGTTTGAAGGGAAAGGGCTTCACCTGCTTGCAGGACAACAAAAATGCAGCCAGACAGAGAAAGCTTGTTTGAAGGGCAAGGACTTCACCTGCTTGCAGGGCAACAAAAATAGGACCAATCTAGCCTGTTGTGGGAGGGAGTTCCAAAGTCTGGGAGCAGCAACAGAGAAGGTCCTCTCCTGTCTCCACCAAATGCACTTGTGAGGGAGATGGAGCCCAGAGTAAGATCTCCCTCAATAATCTTGGCACTCTTGTAGGCTCATAAAAAGGGGAAAGCAGTCCTTGAGATAGCTTGGGTCCAAGCTGTTTTAAGGTTTTATAGGTTAGAATCAACACTCTGAATTCTGCTTAAAAACGGATCAGCAGCCAGTGCAGCTGCTGTAAGGGGGGTGGTTGTGAGTTCCCTGCAGTCAGCCCGTTATCAATCTGGCTGCTGTGTTTTGTACCCTCTGAGGTTTTTGGACGCTTTTCACGGGCAGCTCAATAGAAATTGCCATTATCAATCTGGCTGCTGTGTTTTGGACCCTCTGAGGTTTTTGGACGCTTTTCATGGGCAGCTCAATAGAAATTGCCGTAATTCAGCCAGGATATAGCCAAGACATGCATCACCATGGTCAGATGAGACCTTTGATCAGGTCAGCATGTAAAATGGTAAAATAAGCTCTTCTTAGAAGAACAGATTAGAATGTTCAGGATAGAAAGCCGAGGATACTTCATGTGGTTTCTATGTCCATGGTTCCCACTAGGCTGATGACATAATATTCATGAAATTGTGTACAAGTTTCATATAGTAGATTTCCCACCCAATACAGAACTACCCTTTCATACACCTATACAGTTTCTTGGTGTCTTCTAAAATCAACGTTTGACATGGTTATGTCCATGATCCAAAGAACAGCTCTGGAATAAAGTAGGGCAAATTTGTTATTTGTTTTCCATTAGTGTACAGTACGTAGCTCTAACATCACAATGAAATATGTGCGAATGGGCTCTAGACATAGACACAGAATTACCAAAACGTCCGCAGTCCTCTCAACAAAATATTGGTTTGATTTATATTGCGTTCTGTTCTATGAGATCAGGTTAACATGCAGGACTTTTCCTAAACATTAATAGTCCTGACCCATGGGACTTAAATTGAAGATACTGTATTCAAATAGCCTGATGAAGCCAAATTAAATGGAAAAAATATATATGCGACAGGCAGGTATGTTCGTCTTTTATAATAAAAAAGCACCTCAAAGATTATCTCATTAGAAATGTGTCAGTGGTTATAGTATACAGTATCAAGTTTTGGATTACAGTTACTGTGTTTTGACACACTGCTACATCAGAAATAAGCTGAAAACAGAGCAACCTACTAAAACATTAGAAATGTGTCAGTGGTTATAGTATATTGGGTTTTGGATTTCAGTTACTGTGTTTTGACACACTGCTATATCAGAAATAAGCTGAAAACAGCAACCTACAAAAGGCCAACTTACTGCAGATGTGGTTAGTGAAATGATGGCACTTTCTTTGGCTTTTCAGTTCTACACCCTAGCATGCTCTGTGATGCAGTGTATTTGTGCCTGCTATTCCATTTGCTATCTTAATAACAGAAGTGAGGTGTTTCTGATTTTAGTGTACACAATTCAAATTTATATGGGAATTCACTCAATAACCACCTATAGTTGCATTAAAATTTTTTCTACAGTGATTTTAGATAAAATAATTGTCAAAGAAAACTAGGTCTTTTTGGTTCTGAGTAAAATTGGTATTCGTGATATTTATTTATTTATTTATTTAACTTATATGCCGCCCACTCTACCCAAAGGTCTCTGGGCGGCTTACAACAATTAAAATACAATAAAAAGATAATACAATTAAAATACAATTAAAATATATACTCTAAAAATTGCCATCAGGACCCACAGTTGATATTATTTCAATTAAAAGCCTTCTGGAATAGGAAGGTTTAGACCTGGTGGTGCAATGTCATCCGCGTCAGCGCCAGATGAATCTCAGTTGGGAGGGCGTTCCATAGTCTGGGGGCAGCTGCCGAAAAGACCCTTTGTCTACAAGCCGTCCCTCTTACCTCCTTGATGGACAGCTCTTTCAAAAGGGCCCCCTGACTAGATCTTAACTGCCGGGTAGGTTCATATGGAAGGAGGCGCTCCTTCAGGTATCCAGCGCCCAAGCCCTTTAGGGCTTTATATGTCGAAACAAGCACTTTGAATTGGGCCCAGGCAGCAACTGGTAGCCAATGTAATTTAAACAGAATTGGCTTGATGTGTCCCCTAGTGGCCCCACCACCCACCAGCAGGGCAGCTCGATTTGGGACCAGTTGCAGTCGCCAGACCGTCTCCAAAGGCAGCCCCACGTAGAGCACAGTAATCTATACGAGATGTTATCAGTGCATGCATACTTGCCCAGCAAAGAACTACTGTACAGTAATTCATTTGATTTGCTCTAGGACCTACTTGTTCATCTTTTTGACAGTCCAGAGTATCTGCAAAGCTCTTCTTCAACATCATATTTAAAATGCACCAGTACTTTTCTGTCAGTTTTATTCATTGTCCAGTATTCACACCCATATGCAGTAATCAGGAATACAAGAAGGCAGATGATTTTGCCTTGGTCTCCAGTGACGCATCCTTACACTTCACGATCTTCTTTAATTTTTTCGAGTCTCAGTTCTATTCCGGTTTCTTGGCTGCAATCTCTGTGTGGATTAATGATTTGAGCAAAACCTTTAATAATTTCATACATTCGACGAAGTAAGCTCTAGCACACGCCAAACGTTCCTGCCACAAGAAAACCGATTAGCTTTGAAGCTGCCAAACGGACAGTTATTTTGATAGCCATAAAAGGGACTGAAATTCAGCCCGTCGTCGCTCCGATCCGATGCCTGTTACCGGCATTACCGGTTGAATCAACCCCGGTTCAAGGGGTTTCCCCAAAAATTTTTTAAAAGGGAAAAAAAGGCGTGCAAAGAATCCGGAGGCTTAAGGCTTTGCTTTCTTCTTTAGAGGGCAAAATACTCACCGTCCCCCTTTTCTACGGGCAGAAATTAGGCAGTGGGGAGCCTTAGCACGTAACCACATGAAATGCGCGTAAACCTCGCTCGTCGGTGATTCTTTCTCTTTAAGACACGAACCATACCGGGCTCACGTTTTTGACCCGGAAGCGAAAAGAGGCGGCCTTCCGGCCGAGGCGCTTTTCCTGTAGGGATCGCGCGGCGGAGCCCTGGGGTGCGCACGAGGGCAGCTGCAAGCATGAAGTTCGCGTACAAGGTAGAAGACAGGAAGGCGGCGGGTGGCTTGGCCGGGTTGGATCGGGACGGGGATTAGGAAAAACCTGGGGGTGCGAGAAGGTCTGCCCCTCGCTGGCTGGCGCCGTTTTCTGGAGTACCCAACCCCACGTCCCTTGGTCCTGCTTTTCTTACTAGTTACTGCTTCCGATCGTTGCCTTGGGGCATGTATTGCTCCGATAGTGAGTCTGACCTTAACCCAGGAGCCCTGCCTGGCACCATTCCACCGGGGTTTATCCCTGTAGAGAGGATACCACACACACACACACCACCCGTGTCCCTCGGATTGCTTGTATGATCGGCAAGTAAGAAGATTCATCCAAAACCCATGTACTTGTAGGGTGGATTTGGGGCGGGCGGTGAGGACTGTTTATGACCGTGATACGATAATAGAATAGAACAGTATTTAATTCATTTATGTATGTATTTGATTTATACACCACACATATGGCAGCCAAGGCCACTCTGGGTGGTTTACAAAAGAACAACAGAGTAACAAAAAAGCAAATAGCAACATTAATAAGTAGGTGTGAAAATAAAAAAAATCATAGAGTGATTTGAGGGTAAAATTATAATAAATACAATTAAAAACGTAGAAAAATAAAAACGTAGAACATGGCAGTATGATAGAAGTTATATTATTAGAAGCTATTAATACCATCTAACTTTCCCTAGTATTGTCTCTTTCGTCAGTTCATCCAGTTCTAATCTCCCCTTTACACATACACCCCATCCCATGTGTGCTCTTGCATCCAAAATACTTATTTCAGGGAGTAGTTGTGGATCAAGTGGAGGAACAGATGCTCACTTCACATGCTGCGTATTCATTGTTTATGTCAGCCTCTCGGTGCCCTCTGCATGTCTTAGTCTACAGTTCCCTGTCATTCCCAGAAAGCAGGACCAATCATATGGGTTCCGCCCCTCCCCACAGACAATTATGTTGTTATGTGGCATCAATTTGTCCCCAATTTATGGCAATCCTGAGAAAGAGCAATCTCCAAAATGTCCTGTTTTCAACAGCTCAGTTATTCCAAACACAAGCTTGTGGGTTCCTTTAGGGAGTCAATCTGTTTTATATTTGGTCTTCCTGTTTTCCTGCTGCCTTCAGCCTTTTCCAGCATTATTGTCTTTTTGCTGTTGTTTAGTTGTAAGTTGTGTCCAACTCTTTGTGACCCCACAGGCCAGAGCACGCCAGGCCCTCCTCTCTTCCACTGCCTCCTGGTCAAATACATGTTGCTGGCTTCGATGACACTGTCCAACCATCTTGTCCTCTGTCATCCCCTTCTCCTCTTGCCTTTACACTTTCCCAACATCAGGGTCTGTCTTAGTCCAGCACATATTTGAGAATCAGATTTGGGGAGGCTTTCTGCTTATGGATTAATATGACTTTATGGATTAATATAACTTTAATTCTCTCCCTAGTTCTCCAACTTGCTGGGTACAGTCTACCGATGTGGAAATCTGACCTTTACTCCTGATGGAAATTCGCTCATCAGTCCTGTGGGAAACAGAATCACTGTCTTTGACTTGAAAAAGTAAGCATTTTCTTTCAATGACTAATGATACAGGATGGGATTTCCCTTCTCTTCCTAGCAAAATGCATTGCTATTGGGGACAGTGCCGTGGGAATAAAATTCTGTGTACAGAAATGTGTTTCAACGTGCAGATTACTCTTCCTGAATTGAGCAGAAGTGTGTAGCTGAGACAAAACACTTCAAAACAACCAATTTTCCACTTTTTTCTTCCAGTAACAAGTCTGAAACTTTACCGTTGGCAAGCCAATACAATGTCTCATGTGTGGGGCTCTCTCCAGATGGGAACCTTGCTATACTGGTTGATGAAGGTATTTGTTTTCTAAAAGATGTTGAGAAGGAATAAGATCAATATCAAAAATTCTGTTATCAGTCCTCAGGTGTAATTAGATTTCTTTTAAGTAAATGATTTTTATCTGTGTTTGGTGTATGTGGTATATTCACCTGCAATCCAGATAGACAATAAGTATAGATTGCTTGAATTAAGTGAAATAGATTAATTTTATTATTTTGGTCAAATAAGAGAGATCTATTTCAGACAAAGTTTGGATGGTATTGACTGTATTATTTCAATTGTTTAATAATGTGTTTGAATCATTTATTTTTCTTCTACAGAAGGAGCTGCCTTACTGGTCAGCTTGATCAGTAAATCTGTGATCCATCAGTTCCATTTTCATAAACCAGTTCATAGTGTCCGCTTTTCCCCAAATGGAAAGTACGTGGAACTTTTAATGTTTGTTTTACCTCCTTTTATGTGTATGTTAAGAGTACTAGCAGATAACCCTGAACTACATTTAGTTTATCATAAAAACAGAGATCAAGGCTCCAGACCTGTACATACTTGCCTTACAAATGAATCCTGCTGAACTCACTGGGATTATCTCTGAGTGGGCATATATAGGAAGGATATCTGTTAAATATTAGACACCAGGAATGATAGAAGTTAGTATCAGCATTGTCGTCATAATCAGATCTCAGAAATCGCACCATCTGATTATCTCTGAGTGGGCATATATAGGAAGAATATCTGTTTAATATTAGACACCAGGAATGATAGAAGTCAGTATCAGCATCGTCGTCATAATCAGATCTCAGAAATTGCACCATCTGAACTACAAAAAATGGCAATATTAGGGACAGCATACATACTGCACCAAATTTAACAGATACTTAGGATTTGGGTTAAAATTTGTATCACATAATATCAGTCATTGTTTTTATAATCTAGGTTTTTGGTTAAAATTTGTATCTATTACATAATGTCAGTCATTGTTTTTATAATCTTGATTGACTGTGCCTGGTGTTTTTCAATAATAATAATGGTAATAATAGTGTGCTCCCAAGTCAATTCTGACTTCTGGCAATGGTTTAGAGGGTTTCATAGCGGTTACCATTCCCTTCTTCTGGAATAGTGCAGCTTGCCCGGGCCACATGGACTTGCTCTTCTGGGATGCAAAATGGGAACTGAACTCCTCTGGCTGTGTCCCCAGATACCTAAACCACTGATCTATCTGGGTGGATTTAGGTTCCTCTTAGAAAAATATAAACCTGCAGGCATAGATGTCTGGGTGATCTCCAGCTTGCGATTGCACCCATTGAAAAGAATGGGGTATCTGCCTGTGCACAGAATAGTAGCTATCTCCTTGTACAAATGATAGGAAAAAGACAACTATGTGCACAATGAACCCATGGACACACAGTGAAAATGAACAAGATATTTCATTGGGCTGCCTCCACCTAGTGAAATCAGTGCAGTTTTTGCATGCATGAAAATGTTTAATAGCAAAATTGTTATAAATAAGAGTATTGTACTGTCAGGATAAATTTATATAAACCTTGCCTCTTGTGTGTGTGTGTATCTCAGAAAACATGCCTTGTTTAAGAGCCCATTTGGATTATTGTAACACACTTAGTGTGATGCTGCTTTCAAGCGCTTTTAGAAATTTCTGGCAGTCCAAATTGCTCCAGCCAGTGTGGTGATCAAAACATGTTAAAAGGCACATATAACTCTCTTGTTCTGACAGCTTCACTAGCCTTCATTCCAGTTCCAGGCATAATTCTGAGTGCTGGTTTTGACGTGTAAAAACCCCTGCATGACTTGGTGTCCAGGTTATCTGAAAGATTAAGATTACAGTTACTGTCTTTTGGCAGAGCTCTGCCAGAGCAGTGGGAGTGATGTCCCCAGCAGTGGCAGACTGCTGCTGATTAAAGAGTTCCTCTCTCACTTTTACAGTGTTGAGACTCGCCATACCAGTAGAGCTCTCCAAGGGGATGTTGCCTTTGTGTTAACGTGTAGAGGCCTGTCTGGGCTTTGACTCCTGTGAGGGAGACACATCTCTCACTGCCACCCCCCCCCTCAAAGGCATGCTTGGTGCAGATGTGAGAGAAGGCCTTGATGTCTGCATCCGAACTATGGAACCTCCTTTCTGAGGGAGGCTAGGCTGGTCCCCTCCTTTTTGTCCTTCCCCTGGTAGGCAGACACCATTCTTGTTAAAGAAGCATTTGGTTACGGACTGGCTGCCAAGGACAGGGCCTGTGGCAAGTGTATTTCTTAATTTTTAATGATTTTCATATTTTAATGGAGACACTATTCTACTATTTCAACTCAATTATCTTTTAATAGAACAGTTACTTTAAAATGTTTTGATATTACAACTGTTCTATTTCTTTAGTCCTGCTTTTAGTCTAGTTATGTACTGAGTTGGGTCCCAGTTCTAAAAGGAATATGGAATCTAAAAAAAATAAATAAATAACAGTTCATATGGTTTTACTAAGTTGTCCTACTACTGTTTAGGTAACACTGATGGTTTTCATTTTATTAATCTTTATTCCTGGCTTGAAAAACTGGGTATTTTCACTGTGCTCTTCAATTTTTTGTGAAACAGGAAATTTGTGGTCACAAAGGATAAAGTAGCTATGATGTACCATGCCCCAGGGAAAAAAAGAGAATTTAATGCATTTGTCCTTGACACTACTTACTATGGTGCATATGATGAAACAACCTGCATTGATTGGACTGATGATTCCAAGTAAGTATTTTCTGCACTCTGTCATAGCTTCAGAAAAAGAGAGCAGATACATTGAAAGCCCATGGAATGTATACTTTTGCTAAGATATTAGAAAATCTTGCATTGTTATTTCTAGATGAATTATTCTAGTCTCTTTTCTCCTGTAGAGCTGTAATTAATTATGAATATATTTTTTTTCATTCATTAATATTTTCTTCTTCCAAACATTTAACCATGTCTGAATCAGTGGCAAACAATTTATCATAAGATGAATTAACAGAGTGGGTCCAGCAGAGCCATTCTGAAAATTGAGAGTCCTTATATTTGTAGAGGGGGCTTCAACCAGTGGGACACTTTCATGAAAAAGGAGAATGTAGGCAAAAAAATAACTTCCTGAATTCCTCTCCTTTCCCCAACCCATGTCAGCTCCCTGAACTGTTCCAAAGCGTATTCCAGAGTAGATGGGGCATGGCCAGAGGGAGTTGGCTAAAACTTAAAGGAAGTCCACTTATGGAACTCTGGATCTAACCCAAAATTGGTAATGTGACCACACCTGTCTTCATAATGCCCTTACTTTACAGAAGAATATGAAATTATGAGACATTTCTTCATCTTTTCAATGACTTTTTGCAATTTTTCTGTGTTCACCATCTCCAACAGTTTACTCAGCTTCTTTGAAGTTACTGTAAGTGTCCCTTGACCTGTTTATTCTCTTCAGTTTCATAGAACCCAAAATTGGTAATGTGACCACACCTGTCTTCATAATGCCCTTACTTTACAGAAGAATATGAAATTATGAGACATTTCTTCATCTTTTCAATGACTTTTTGCAATTTTTCTGTGTTCACCATCTCCAACAGTTTACTCAGCTTCTTTGAAGTTACTGTAAGTGTCCCTTGACCTGTTTATTCCCTTCAGTTTTATAGATCCGGAAGATGACATGGCTGTATTTGGATAAATGTAGAGGGTTGTACATGAAAAAATAAAACATCCCCTGAAAATAAGCCCTAATGCATTTTGGAGCAAAAATTAATATAAGACCCTGTCTTATTTTCGGGGAAACGTGGTAATTAAAACTGAACAGACTTTAAAAGACTTTGTATTAGAAACTATGCATCAAATCCAAAGGCTTTTTTTTTGCCTTTGATGGAAAGAATATTTCTCTGATCTTTGATAGCAGCTTTCTTTATCTTTCCTAAGGCCACCAGTAGTTAGTAAACTCGTGTATAGATTATTTGCTGTTATATCCAAAGCCAGTCTGTTAAAATGTCTGCAGAATAATGTTTCTGAACACTTTTCTTTTTTTAATTTTAGATGTTTTGCAGTAGGCAGCAAGGATATGTCAACCTGGGTGTTTGGAGCAGAGCGATGGGCCAATCTAATTTACTATGCACTGGGAGGCCATAAGGATGCTATCGTTGGCTGTTTTTTTGAAGAAAACAGTCTAGATGTAGGTACCAACTACAGGTTTTTTTACATTGACCACAATCCTAATGGGGATTTACATCAGTGTAAGTCTAACAGCATAAATCACAGCTAACTAATTACAGCTAATGTAAGTCACTGCTTACATTCCTGGTCATGTTCCAGTCATGTGGTTTGCTATTTGACAAGGAATCCAAATAGCAAATCATTAATTGGCAACCATTTGGTAGTGCATTTTTCATTACTCCTTGTATGCTGGTGTAAATCCACCGTAAGGTTTGAGCCATTTCAGGTGAATTTGGTTTAAGTCAAATCATTTAAATCATTTAAATCATGATTCGAATCACTAGTCAGTAAGCATTATATTTTTTAAAAATCTGATCTAAATAAAAAATCAGGTTTAAATTTTTAAAATCATTTTTTAATTTAAATCAGATTTTTAAAATAAAACGCTTACTGAGTAGTGATTTAAATCGTGATTTAAATGAAATCCACTCCATTTTTATTGTTTTTGGATAGTTTACTTTGTTTCAGGACAACACTTTAGGTTCAGAATAATGTTGTCTATGATGTGCTTTTTCCAAGGTGCTCTTACATTGTAGAGTTCTTAGGGACGTTGAGCAGTACTTTAAAATACGAAGGCAACTGATGTCCTGAGTAGCCAAAAATAAGCTAGTAACACCCCAGATGTATCATACCCTTATACTTTGTAAGCCAACCTAAAGAAAAGGTCCACTCTACTACTAGGTGTGAGTTGCTAATAGATATACATAGACATGAAAATCAGATATTTATAACACTGAAGTGCATGATACAAATAAAATAACAATAAATATAACCATAAGGGGGCCTTTGTTGGTTGACAGAATTCACCAAATGTCACATATCCAAACATTTCAAAAGTTGCTTTCCAAAAAACAAAAAGAGGGTGCATGTTGAAAAGCACTCCATTATTTTACGAAGTTTTAATACGTACTAGGTTTAAAGCTTTCAACAAATAGGATTTGATGGCTTGAGAAGTTAAGTCTTTGCACAGTCATAATTGGCCCAGATGGCTGGGTGTAGCTTAGCCAGCAGCTGGCTGACTGAAGCAGTGCAGAATCCAAACCCCTTCCCAGCCCAGGATGTTAGAAATTACTTAGGACTATCTTCAGGGTGACCTAACTTTGTACCTATGTCTCTGGCCTGGAGGAGGCTTGGATCTGACCTCATTTGGCTCCTCTCTTGTCTTACCCTTTTGCCACCCTTTTTTTAGCGCTCTTGTTGGCAGATCTTCCTGAGCAGAGCAGTTTTGCCAGGAGATCCGTCTATTGGCAAATCTGGGGTCAGCTGGTAGAATTGTATTCTGTTGGCTGAACAGCTCCGTGCCTATTCCTAACTCCCCATAGCTGACGCATCTTTGAGTTAGGATTGCATTGTTATCGGCCAAATATTATCTGGCTGTTATTCAGTGTAATGGCTTGCAATGCTGTACCACTCGTTCATTGGTGTAAGATTTGCTTCTCTCATGCCATTGTTATCATTATATTTTGTTCTTACAGTTGTACACTGTCAGCCGAGATGGGGCATTATGTATGTGGCAGTGTGACACAGAGCTAAATGGTCTGAAAGCTAGAGCACCGAAAGACCAATCTGTGGACCAGGAGGAATCTGCCAAAGACATAGATGAAGAGTTGACAGAAGAACAGAAGGGGAAGGAGGTCCACGGGAAGGCCAGCACAAAGGAACAAGAGGGCAGGCAGAAAGTGAAATACTCATGTGCGGGCAAGTAAGTGGTCTTCCAGGAATCTGGGATAGCAGGCATTTGTGGCAGTAATCTCATTCATTTTCAGTTTAAAGACACTGGCTGAAATCTAGTAGTAAATTGCAAATAGAGAAGGCCCATAGATGCAGTGGAAATTTGGTGAATCTGCTCCTCCATAAGTGACATTGGTTCAGTGGGCCTGCTCTAATTGCCATTCACTACTGGATTTCAACTGTTATATGCCTTTACCCAGTTCTTAGTGCGCGTTGCCCCGCCCGCCCGCCCCCCGCATTTCCCCTCTTCCTCCTCCTCTTCCTCCTGCTGCCGGGAGGGAGGGAGCCGTCGCCGCCGAGAGAGTGATGTGGGGCCGCGCAGGGAGATGTAGGAAGGGAAGTGGTGCACGCTCACGTGCATTCCACCCCCTCACTTTCTCTCTTCCTCCTCCTCCTCCTCCTGCCGCCGCCAGGGAGGAATGCAGACAGGCAGGCAGGCAGATGGAGGGAGGGAAGACGTTTGCGCGCCCGCCATGCCCCGACTCATGTGCGGGCAAGTAAGTGGCCTTCCAGGAATCTGGGATAGCAGGCATTTGCGGCAGTAATCTCATTCGTTTTCAATTTAAAGACACTGGCTGAAATCTAGTACCGTATATGGCGCCCGCCATGCCCCGCTTTCTCTCTTCCTCCTCCTCCTCCTCCTGCCGCCGCCCCCCCAAGACTCTTCCCGGCGCCGCATTTTGGGGGGGTTGTCTAATACGCTCCGTCGCCGTATATGGCGGCATATACGGTAGTAAATTGCAAATAGAGAAGGCCCATAGATGCAGTGGAAATTTGGTGAATCTGCTCCTCCATAAGTGACATTGGTTCAGTGGGCCTGCTCTAATTGCCATTCACTACTGGATTTCAACTGTTATATGCCTTTACCCAGTTCTTAGCCATTGAAAGCAAAAAAAAAAGTACTTTAGAATACCTCCTCAGCTTACTAATAAATGTGTGAGTTACAGCCACTACAGAATTGGATGCAGACTCAGTCATATAGCAGGGACCTTTTCATCCTTCCAGGACACATTGCTCACAATGACCATCCTTGAGCAGAGGAGTTTCAAAGACAGTTTCCACTATCTTTCATCCAAAGGGTCAGCTCTGTCTTCTGTAAGGTTTTGATTACATATGTTTTCCTTTTTAAATTTTTTTGCAGTGAATTTTTATTTTATTTTATTAATTGGTGTTTTTCACTCTTTTTTAAAACATCACTATGTCTAGAACTGTGTTGTTATCATGAAGTGTGACTGCTTTCCCCCAAGCCTTTCAAACTGTTCTTACGGAAGTAATTGAATGATAGATATGCAATTCAGGTAATATGTATCAGTGATAACATCTGCTAATCCTCTGTTATTGTTTGTGTCTACTTTCTTTTTGCTCAGGTACTTTTTAAACAAAGAAGGAGATTTTAACACCTTGACAGCTGCAGCTTACCACAAGAAAATTCACCTGCTAGTCACTGGTTTTGCTTCTGGAATATTTCACCTCCATGAGCTTCCTGAGTTCAATCTCATCCATTCTTTAAGGTTAGTCTAGCTGTTGCTTATGGAAAAGAAATGTAGTCGGGGTGTTTTTGTTTTTTTGTTTTAAACTTGGATGATACCTTTTTTTTCTTCAAAAGCCATGTTTGGTTTGTAAGCAGCTCGGTCTGAAATAGTGTGGGTTTTTCCCCACATTGTTTCAAATACATGTTTTTTGAAAACCTAAAAAATGATAGGTGAACTTGATTAATAATAGAATGAATTCTATTGCTGTTGTTGTTACATGTCATCAAGTCACTTCCAACCTATGATGAATATGAATGTGCTGTCTTCAACAGCCTTGCTCAGCTCTTGTAAACTCAAGCCTGTGGCTTCCTTTAAGGAGTCAGTCCATCTCATCTTTCATCTTCCTCTTTTCCTGCTGCCTTCTACCTTTCTCAGTATTGTTATCTTTTCCAGAAAATCCTGCCTTCTCATGATGTGCCCAAAGTAGGACATAAATTCTGTAAAGATAAAGAGCAGTAAAGATCCAGACATATTGAAGTTTTAAAGGCATTTTGGTGGCACTGTGCCTTTTTGAATTCTGCATTGCCAGAATTTGAAATGTTGCTTATTTAACTCACACTGCCTTTTATCCTTGTTACAGTTGGGGCTTTTAACCATTTAACATGCATAGTAAGGGCTGAGGCTGCTATTTACAGGTGTATGTTTTTAACCATTAATTCATGCACAGAGAGTGGGTCACTGATTGATGCTGGCCGTCTCCCTGGAGATCAGGTGGTGCCTTTCTTGGGGAAGTAAGGAGCAAAGGTAGAGCAGTATGTGCAGGTGAAACTCCACTGAATACAGGCACAGAATAAATATACACAAACTTCAATAAACCCTACTGTTATGAAAATATTTCTTAAATTAATAAAGTTTACTTTGCAGTGAACACTTTGGTTTGGTACCCATTATCAGTGAAACAGATATCAAATAACCTAAGCACTTCACTTGTCAGTTGAATAAACTCAGTCTTCATCAACTGTGCCATACCTACTTAATTAAATTGCAGATGTATGCTTCGTTGAGATTAGCAAAACCTCTTCACTACTGAAAGTAGTCCCATTTAGCCCCTTTAAATTACCTCTGATTGTATGAATACAGTGGTGCCTTGACTTACGACCATAATCTGTTCCAGAAGATGGATGTATCTCGAAATTGCCATAAGTTGAAGCACCATTTCCATATAAGTCAAAATGGTTGTATGTTGAAGCGTGCATTCCCATAGGAATGCATTGGAATGCGATTAATCTGTTCCAGAAGGGGGAAAATAGCCCCCCGCATTGGAATGCGATTAATCCGTTCCAGAACGGGGAAAATAGCCCTCCCCCATAAAAATAAAACACTGCAAGCCCCATAGGAACACACTGGAGCTGTAAAACAACAACCAACCAACCAAAAATAAACCACGGAGCAATTCCCAAAGGCCCTGGGGCTTAAAAAACAAAACAACAACAATGGAGCAAGCCCCATAGGAACATGCTGGGGCTGCGAAACAAACAAACATGGAGCAAGCCCCACGCTGGGCTGCAAAAAAAATCACCAAAAAACAAAACAACATCACAGCACAGAAACATAAAAAACCCAAGCCAAAACCCACCCAGAACAGTTTTTTAAAAGCAAAAAGTAGCACCTTACCTTACCAGGCAGTTGCAAGCCTCCTCCAGTCTAACAACATCACAGCACAGAAACATAAAAAAACCAGCCAAAACCCACACAGAACTGTTTTTTAAAAGCAAAAAGCACCACCTTACCTTACCAGGCAGTTGAAAGCCTCCTCCAATCTTACTCACTCTAACCGTTGGGGCTAAACAGCTACAAAGAAGCAGCCTCTTCGCCTACCAATGGTTAGCAATTTGAATTTCCCACCCTTTTCCCCTGCCTTTTTAAAGTCGTAATTGGAAGCTCTGGTCGCAAGTCAAAGCAAAATTTTGCGGCCGGAGCAGGTTGTAACTCAAAATGGTCATAAAGAGGGACGTTTCATAAGTCGAGGCACCACTGTATGTTGTTTTTTCTTCACCATGGTGAACATTAAGTCTTTCTTTTCTTTTAAGCTAGATGATTATGGTTTTAATATTGTTTCCTTGTGGAGGTGGTTTTATGACTGTGTGTAATTTCTGAAGCTTTACCATAGGAATCCAAACGCTCATCATTGCTCATAATCTCTTACCTCAGTTCTCTCTGTGTTTTTTGCTTAGCATTTCAGACCAAAGGATTGCATCTATTGCTCTCAATGGTACAGGAGACTGGATTGCCTTTGGATGTTCAGGTGTGTAGCGATGGGAAATGAGTCTCACTGTGGGCCTGTCCATGCAGTTCATTGTGCTAAAGGCAGGGTTAGGCAACTTCTAGAGGTCCTGGGAGCCTTACACACCTTCCTCCAGACCTCATAGGGCTGGCCCAAATTCCCTCCCCTATTTAATTTTTTTAAAACTGATCTTTTCCTCCATGTGAACATGGGCAGGCACAAAACGAAAAAAAAATTGTGTGTGCTAAAAGTCTGTTAACAGCCGCCTAGAGTGGTCTTAACCGACTAGATAGGCAGGATATAAAATAAATAATCCATGTGAACATGGGCAGGCACAAAACGGAAAAAAAACAGTGTGTGCTAAAAGTCTGTTAACTTCTTGTCCAGTCCTGTTGTTCTTCACTGTTGCAAATCTTACATCCAAATTTCTACAGCATTTGTAAATTCTTTAGTTGTTGTATCGTTTCACTATAATTTCAAAATAATAGTTTTATGTTTCTTAGATCAGGCAAACGTGCACTGTAGTTTATATGTGAATGTAAATGCTGACCTTGGTTATAAAATCAGAATATTTCTAAGTGTGTGTGTAAGTATCCGTTCAACAGCTGGTTTTTGAAATGGACCTTTTTGCCCAGGCTTTCTCTGCATTGCATTAACAGGTCTCGGGCAGCTCTTAGTATGGGAATGGCAAAGCGAATCCTACGTGCTGAAGCAGCAAGGTCATTTCAACAGTATGATGTCACTTGCATATTCGCCAGATGGACAGTACTTAGTTACTGGTGGGGATGATGGCAAAGTAAGTAACTGTTGGTAAACTTGGAGTATGATGGCTTTGGAAAAGCCACTGTTTTTTAAAATTTATTGCAACAGTGCTAACAACATGCAAGAGTAATGTATCCCCCCCCCAACTCCAGCAAATATGTTTTAGGAGATAGAAACTGTACCTCCACCCCTCCTTCTTTGTAAGTTTTTACTTCTGTTTTGCTATTGCAAGTAATATTTTTCAAACAAACATTAGAATAGTTTTTTTAACAGTAGCAAAATGGAGCAACAGGGAAGTTGGCCATATTAGGAACTGGCTGTAGCCCAGACTGAGGACAGAAATACTATTTATGGTATTGGTCATCTGAAAACAAGGGTGGCATAAGGAATGTGTTTTCAGTGAATGGCGGTGGCCTTTGAGGTTAAATGCTTTGTTGAGATAAGAAAAGAAACCTATGGGAGATCTGCTGAGTGACTCTTTCTGTTCCATTCATAGGTGAAGGTGTGGAACACCAGCAGTGGTTTTTGCTTTGTTACCTTTACAGAACATACTAGCAGCATCTCTGCTGTAACATTTACCACCTCCGGCTTTGTCATTTTTAGCGCCTCCTTGGATGGAACTGTCCGAGCTTTTGATCTGCACAGGTACATAAATTCTTTATCTCTTTTTCTCCCTGAGTTTTGTTTTCAGGCAGAGTAGAAATCAAAAGATGTATAATCTTAATTAACATCCGGAGATTTATTGAAAAGTTGTTATACACGGCCTGAATCAGATGGGCTCATTTTGATCTGGCACAGCCCTGTGGTACTGTCGTGGTATCAAAGAGATGGTGTAAGCATTTTACTCCTTGAAAGTATCCTTTGTCAAAAATCGTATGCCTCTCAGAGGTTTATAGACAAGAGAGAAGTCCAGGCATAGAAGTTTGTTCTTAAAAACCTTTTTTTTTTGCATGTTTTAAACAGATACCGCAATTTCCGTACCTTCACTTCCCCACGACCAACCCAGTTCTCTTGCTTGGCTGTGGACTCCAGTGGCGAGATTGTTTCAGCTGGTTCTCAAGACTCGTTTGAAGTATTTCTATGGTCTGTGCAAAGTGGACGACTGTTAGATGTAAGGAAAAGACATTTGTTGTGGTGGTCTTAATATGTTTTTTCAAACTTTCTGATAAGGCCAACTCTTAACAAACACTGAACTCCAGTGAGTTTTAAAACTGATTTTGTTTGACCTTCATACAGCAGCCTACTGTGTGATGCAAATGGAGAAATCTGTCCTATTCTGCTTCCTCTCAATTTAATTTCCATACTAATTCTTTATTTTAGGGCTGCCTCTACCCAATGTTTCCTGGGCTAATCCCAGCCAAATATCATTGCCTATGAAGTTATTGCAATTTATTTGCTATGTGGTGGTACTGGAGTCCTTGTTTGTTACACTGTGTGTTCACCAGTTAGCTTATGGCATCAGCTTAAGTGCTTGAAATAGAAATAAACTCATTGGATTTTCATTTGCATGCAGAAAAACACATTGTTTAATCATCTGAAACTGGAAACAGAACAGAGAACATCTTGACTTGGAAGTCAATATATTCCTGAGATTTGCAGATGTGCTTTAATTACTGGAAGCATTTTGCATTCAAAATTTAAAAAAGTGTACAGATATACCCAAAATTCTGGAGGAGACAAAAAAGGGAAAAAATATATCTTGCCAAGAAAGAATGCACATATCAGTGAAAATCTGAGAAATGCAGCAAAACAAAGACGGATTTTTACACATTCCTGTGTTGAGCTATGTGTTATTTAAAGCAGCCATTCTCATCGGGGGCAATATAGTCTCTAGTGGGGGTCCTGGTACATTTGAAAGGGGCTACAGAATGAAAAATGTGAGCATTTTCTAAAAGATACCTATTTGTGCTGTATCCTTTTTTGACAGGGGGTCTTAGAACTTGAGAAAATCTCCTAAAAGGGATGTGGCGGGGGGGGGGGGGTTGAGAATAGCTGATCTAAAGCATGGGAGATCTGATCATGTACTTTTCCAGTATGGAAAACCTATTACTAAACAATGAAATTGCTGTTATATATGATTTTTTAATCACCCTACTTATATACAGTCATTTTGTTTTGATTTAGAATTATATGCAGAACTCAAAATCAGAAGTTCTAGCATTTTCAAATATTCATTATTTCCCTTTAGGTCTTATCTGGCCATGAAGGTCCCATCAGTAGTCTGCATTTTAATCCAGTGAAATGTGTCCTTGCAAGTGCCTCGTGGGATAAGACGGTGAGACTGTGGGATATGTTAGATAGCTGGAGGACCAAGGAAACGCTGCCACTAAACTCAGATGGTAAATCCTTTGGAAATCTCTTGAATGAATGTAGACAGCTATGTTTGTCTGATGTTTGTAGCAGTTATGGGACAGTCTGGGTCTTTGAAGCTGTAATCATGGAAAACTACTAAGTTGTGAACAACACAGCTTTTTTTCTGACTACAACCTAATTTGGCGGAATAGAAATCATATTAATGTTAAGAGTACCAAATGATGCATCAGAGGTGGAGAAACTGCAGAAGTAAACTGGTTGTTTGGCACAATATTTTGCAAATAATGAAAGTAGTGATTAAATGGGTGGATTTTTGTGTCAGTGGAAATGTAAGAAATGGTGATTTGCAGTTCTAATTTTTCTGCAGGCCTAGTTGTGCTTGTAGAATTGGAGACAATGTAGTCAAAGTGCATGTAAAGTTTCTTAAACAAAGCTTGAACGACGAATTTTTGCAGTGCTTGCTGTTGCGTTTCGCCCGGATGGCAAGGAACTTGCAGTTGCTTCTCTGGATGGACAGATAACTTTCTGGGATCATGAAAATGCAGTGCAGACCGGATCGATTGTGGGACGACATGACCTGCAAATGGGGAGGAAAGAACTGGACAAGATAACGGCCAAGCAGTCTGCTAAGGGAAAGTAGGTAGACTATTTCTCACTTTTTTTTTTAATGGAGAACTGGCTCCATAAAAAAGGTATCAGTCTCTGGGCTGATATCTTCTGAATAAGGGAGCCACTCCTATTACAGGGGTGTTGTTTAATCAAAGCCTTTTGTTGGCTTTCATTTTTAGCTGTGTGGAACTAGCAATAAACTAAGGGTTGTTCACCTGTTCTTACACAATGCGCAGATGAGGAGAAACACTTTGCTAGCCCCACCCCCCTCAGTCATCACTTCTGCCATCCTCCAGAGTGTGAAGGTGAAACCATAAAAATCAGGGTTCTGATCATCATCATCATCATCATATTAGAACTGCAGAGCTGGAAGGGATCCTATCAAGTCCAGCCCCTGTCAAGCAGGCACAAGGAGGAATCGAACTCCCAACCAATCCCTAAACCACTGAGGTATCCAGAAGTTCATGTGGAGGACCTTCACAGACAGCAAATGATCTTTCCTTAAGAATGTTGCTTCTGTACACAGGAAGGTGATGGAACTGAGGCTTGGGAGTGGACTGGAACTCAGTAGCACTACTATTAGATCTTGCAACATGCCCACCTCAAAAACATAACCAGAAAAACAGCTGAATAAGGGTGTAGAATACTGTGAAACGCTGGTGCCAGTTGGGAAAGAAAACTCAGGTGGGTCATTGGAATAGCGTGCCGTAGGAGACCATGGACTGAAATCCTAAACAGAAGCATTCCTGTTAAGAAGTAAGAACACACTGCAGTGTATTTGTGCTTATTGTCACAGTTACTGTCTGGCAAAACCCCTAAAATGTAGAATTTACCAAAGTTGTTTCATACAAAGTGAATTATTCTGGCCGGTTTTTGTAGAAAGAAAAGAAATGCATTTACTTCCAATATAATTACTCTGGAGAGCGTATGAAGCTGCCTGATTTTTAAACCATGAAACAGAAATAACATGGCTCTTTTACACATTTCTCTCTTTGTCTTTCTTTAGGTCTTTTACCACTCTGTGTTATTCTGCTGATGGGCAGTGCATTTTGGCAGGCGGGCTATCAAAGTTTGTTTGTATTTACCACGTCAAGGAACAGATACTCGTCAAGAAATTCGAAATATCTTGCAATCTTTCTTTAGATGCGATGGAGGTTAGTAATTGATAGGTATTTATGCATGTTTAGGTATGGAATTGGAGGTTAGCCTAGCTTCAAGGTGAACAGACTACAGACCTACACAATCATATTTCTTGTTCCTTTTTTTACTAGAACCAGTCTACCAGGTGGAACCAGGTCTAAGATGCTGGCCAAGGCAGGCAGACATGTGAAACTAAATAATTATGACATTGAAGTATAGTATATCATTATCTCCCGCCAACCTAGCAGTTTGAAAGCATGCAAATGCGAGTAGATAAATAGGGACCACTTTGGTGGGAAGGTAACAGTGTTCCGTGTCTAAGTCGCACTGGCCATGTGACCACGGAAGATTGTCTTCGGACAAATGCTGGCTCTATGGCTTGGAAACAGGGATGAGCACTGCCCCCTAGAGTCGAACACGACTGGACAAAAATTGTCAAGGGGAACCTTTACCTTTACCTTTATATCATTATCACTGAAAATGATGGAACAGGGTGCTTGTCATAATATGCCCAACCCTAGAGTTTATGGTCACAGAATAAAGTGTTTTCTTTTGTCACAATAATTCGCCCTTGTCATTCCTGATATGCGCCCTACCAGTTGGGAGACCCCTTTTTAACTGTTGCAGTTGTTCAGATATTTGCATACAGACAGCCCTTAGGATTTCCTACAGAGCATTCAGAAATTTGCCATTAAATCTTGACTAGAGATGGGGGAATACAAACACCCCCCCCAGAGGTGGAAATAACGAGGGTCTGGCCCCCTGGCGCCAGACCGTCCACTCACCGTTCTGCTGCTGCCGCAGGCTCCGCACACCACTCCTATCGCTCCAGAGCTTGCGATGGATTAGTCATTCCTGGCAGAAGGTGGGATGATGAGCCTCTGCCAGGTTGAAGAGCGGCTAATCCACCACAAGCTCCAGAGGGATAGGGAGTGCAGATTCTGCGGCCGTGGTGGAACGGTGAGTGGATGGTCTGGCGCCAGGGGGCCAGACCCTCGTTATCTCTACCTCGGGGGGGGCGGTATTCATATATGAATATGCCCGTCACTAATCTTAACTTATCTGCTACTCATCTATGAAACTGAAATAGGAAATTTCCAAATGGAAATGTGTTTGCTGTTTCCCCTATAGCAACCTGAATTGTAAACTAATAATGAATTTAGTGTTCGAATCAAGAGACATAGTTCTGTGTTTGTAACTTGGTTGTGTGTCTTCCCTGAAGTACCATTGATTTAATGGCACCACTGTTTATTTTGCTTTTTAAGAGTCCTTAAGAGAAAGGTGGGGTAAAACTATTTTAAATAAATTAAATAATAAATAAACTTCTTTGTGATACTTCATATTTATTCAGAAATCATGGACATTGGTTGGATTTGATTGGGAGGGCAGACATAGAACTACGTATGCTGAGTATGACACTGTAGCTCAAACAAAGTTTGTTTATAGGAGGTAAAACTTTGGCATATAATTTTTTCACAGGAGTACTTGGATCGCAGGAAGATGACTGAATTTGGAAGCATTGCATTAATAGATGAAGGAACTGGGGATGATGATGGTGTTGCCATTCCTCTTCCAGGAGTAAAGAGAGGTATTTCTAGATTTTTAGCAATATGCAACAAGATAACCACAGTGTTTGTGGTGAGTGTGCAGAATTAAGAAGGAATAAGAAAGTGAAAAACCTGAAACAATTTTTTTCTGTGTTTTCTCACTTTACTTGCTTCACTTCCTATGGTAAAACATTTTAGTTTAGAACCCAACCAATAGAATAACACTGTGTTTGGACATTTACTGAGTGCTTTAGGTTATGGACAGTTAATATACAGTATCAACATATTGAGGTAGCTGCATTAATCACTTTTGTGGCCTGTGGTATCAAGATGATTTTGTGGCTGCTTCATAGCAGCTAGTAGCACTTTCATGTCTAGCCATGCTTTGTGAAGGGATACTTGCTGACCCTAATGTTGGGAAAGTGTTAGGGTAAGAGGAGAAGTGGACGACAGAGGACGAGATGCTTGGACAGTGTCATTGAAGCTACCAACATGAATTTGACCCAACTCCGGGAGGCAGTGGAAGACAGGAGGGCCTGGCGTGCTCTTGTCCATGGGGTCACGAAGAGTCGGACATGACTAAACAACAAGAAGTTACTGCTGCTGCTCCACGTTTTCTGTCTCATAGTTCCCAATGTTCCTGTTTTGCACCCAAGTCATTAACGTTTCTAAAGCTTCTATCAAAGATATGGTCTGAACTGAGGATACTCATTTTCCTTGCTATTTAGTGAATACATGAACCCTTGGTAGGCAGCCTCTTTTTTTTGCCTCCCACATTTCTCATGTAGTAATTAGTTGAGGTTTTTTATTTTGAAAAAAGCATATTATCATACTGGAGAGTGGGGTCATTTGCAGGAAGAGGGAAAGTTAACCCGCCCTGTGCACTGAAACTCTTCTTTTTTAAAAAAAAGGTCTTTATGGCCACTAATCTTTTTAAAGGCCTCCACTGATTATCATTAAAATTGATGGGAGGGAAGTGTTTTAAAAACCTGGTCGCCACAAGGGATGGCTTTTTAAAAGCTGCTCCATTTTGTGTCACATCTGATGTGATACCTGCATGAGCATGTCTATGAAAGAGCATGGAGTGACCCACCCACTTTCACTAAGGACCTATTCCCATTGATAACATGTAGTCCCTAGAAGGTACAATAAAAGGTACTTATACTCCAAAAAAATTTGTACCCCTGCTGTAATAGGCAACTGAATAGATGGATTGTATACATTTTATTTTTATTTATTACCATTTTGCTCCTTTTCTTAAAAAAAATAGTGCTCAAGGCAGACAAATAACAAAAGCATGTTATACTGAATCAAAAGCAAATTAGACAATAAACTCATTAAAATAATAGAATCATTAAAAGAATCACAATACTGTAAGCACTGAAAATGTTGAAATGAACAGTTTGAAGAAATACGGCTTTGCAAGCTTCCTAAAAACAGTGAGAGAGGGACCTGATCATGCTTCTGAGCGGACTACATCACAGACTGGCAGCAATTGGAGCCTATTCAGGCTTTCCTCTTTGTGCTCAGCAAACATGAAAGCAAGGCGAGTGTTCTGTTGCCCTCCTGTATGTGGTGGGTGCCAAGCCTGAAATAGGAGAACCACTTGTATCTGTGGGGTCTCTGTATGTGAACATCCAAGACCTGACTTTCTTCAGGATTGTGACTGGCATGTGGAAGGATCTTAGTGCACTGCATTTTGCTTTGTTTCAGGTGACATGAGTTCTCGCTCTTTTAAACCTGAGATCAGAGTGACTTGCCTCCGCTTCTCTCCTACTGGTGAGTATTTCATAATGGAACAAGCAAGATGTATGTGGCCCTTTTACAGCCAGGTTGTGGTAATTTAAATGGAATAAGGTGAGCATCATTGTTCACACTTGGGCAAAATAACTGTGATCACAATTGCCACATATTTGTCACATTGCCGTTTTCATCATATATGAGCACTTAAATTAGCAATCTGTGATGGCAAATGACATGCTTTGTAATAGCCAGTGACCTTAAGGACAAAGTTATATGTAGGCATAGACGAATCCTTTTAAACCTGTGTGGATGAAAGTTGTGTTCCCAGTGTGTTTGCCTGCCCTTCTTCCAGGGCACGAACAGTTTTAACTAATGCAAACTTTCTTCTTTTCTTGCAGGACGAAGCTGGGCAGCAACTACTACAGAAGGTCTCCTTATCTATTCTTTAGACTCTGGACTTGTCTTTGATCCATTTGATCTCGAAATTGACATCACCCCTAGCAACATTCGTAAAGTCCTACTTCAGAAAGAGTACACCAAGGCGATTGTCATGGCGTTTCGACTGAATGAAAAGAAACTGATTCAGGAGGTCCTGGAAACGGTGCCGTATAATGAAAGTAAGCTCTATTGCTATTGCTATTCTAATGTGATGTTCGCAGGAGGCCAGATTTCCTGGAATTCTTTATCAGCAGGATATGCACTAAGGATGAGGGAAGGAAGGGGTAAGTCCCACAAGATCTTATACTTGTTCCAAGTATAAGATGAAAATAAGAAACCATAATAGGAGCACAAAGAGGGTGAGAGGGAACATGTGTCATATGATTCAAGAATTGTTTGATTTAGATTTCATTTGCTGGTATGAGTATGTGTAAGAGAGAGGGCGATTGAAAACCTTATTAATGTGATGTGTAACGCAGAGTTTACCTTCTCACATGTTATATTTTTGCTGATGCAATGCTAAGTAATAAATTATATCCTGTCTTCTTTTTTAAAATCCAGTTGATGTAGTTTCATCATCACTCCCAGAACTGTACATAGAAAAGATGTTAGAATTTTTGGCATGTTCCTTTGAGAAGACCCGTCACTTGGAATTTTACCTCATGTGGACCCAGAAGTTGCTCATGTTACATGGATGCAAGTTAAAATCAAGGTTAGTGTGTTTGGGATGGCAGACAGTGAGTGGAACACCATGTCTACTGGTACCTTGCCTTCTAAGAAGTTTGGAGTGATCTTCCTGCAACACTTGGGTAGCTTTGGAAAATGGACTGTGTCAGGCACCAAAAGACCATTCTTTAGCCCAGGGTGCAAAGCACATCGTCTTCAAAGCAATCTGCACAGCTCCAGAGTCTCCCCATGGGTAAATCGTGCCTGCAGGGGATGCAGTTTTTTCATCTTTAAAAAAGCCATCACCCTTTCACCTTGTTTTGGCAAAAATCCCTGGCTCTTATCACTGGGAGGGTATGGTGTGGCCCATGGTATTCCTGAAGTAGAAAACAGCCCCCAGACTCTATGAAGGTCTTACATCTATGTTTGAATAGGGATTTGAAATATTAGATGAAAGTAGAATACATTTTCTGTTTGAGTTATCTGTGTGTTTGCCTGTGGATATCATCATCATCATTCCCCATTTCTGACACAAAGGGCATCATCATCATCATCATCATCATTCCCCATTTCTGTACACAGAGGTACCCAAAGCAGCTCACATTAACATTCACACAATTTAAAAACACAGTAAGTTAAATATTAAAAGATAAATTAAACAATAAATGATTTAAAACACGATTAAAAGATTAAAAAATGAAAAACCTAAAAAAGATTAAAATTATCTACTAAAATGGGGTTCAGGGATTCAGTTATAATTGTTAAAGGCCTGCCTGAAGAGGTGGGTCTTTAGCTTTTTTTGAAAGGATAACAGGGAAAGGGCCATCCTGAGCTCCTGAGGGAGAGTGTCCCATTTATGACGCTCACAGATAGTAGTCATCGCAGCAAAAAATAGGCCCCAAGGATTGAATGGGACACACCCACAGATAACCTCTCAGTGCCCAAAATGTTATTTGTAAAAATGAGCCATTTAATCTTTTTATTTTAACTTGTACAGAAAGGCTATTTGTCCTCTGGGATTTACGTTTTGCTGGGTTTCTTGGTGCTTTTGCAGGTCAGAGAGAGTGTTGCCGACCATTCAGTTTCTTCAGAGGAGTGTTCAGCATCACTTTGAAAATCTCTCCAAACTGTATGTATTTTGTTGTGTTCTTTTTAAGACAATTATGTTCCTCAGTAGCAAGAGATGAAGAGAGCACCAGAATTGCATTTATTAATTAAAATTAACTTTTCTTAGCATATTATTCCCCTTTGAGGAAGTTTTGCCCTAGAAGACTCCCAACTTCATGTGATTTTACTCTGGCATGTGCCTGGGTCGTTAGCCACTCTCTTCTCTCCACTGCTTTAAAGTGATTGTCCTTATTAAGTGTCAGTATGTGATAGTGTTGGATATATATGTGGGTACCAGAAAACATCTGCCTTATTTTTTTTTTGCTTTAAAAAAACCCATCTTGCAACAGGTAATCTAACTGCAGAAGCATAACAAAGGTCCAATTTCAACATTTATTTTTTATTTCCTTCATGTTATAGGCTGCCTTTCTCCCAGTGAGGGACAAGTTAGGCTAAAAGCGCAATAAACTGCATTTATTTATCTTATATATATATATACAATATATGCCCAGTATCCATGAGGGATTCAATCTTAGTTCTTAAAAGCCTGTGGAAAGAGGCAGATCTTTAAATATTGCCAGAAAGATAAAAGGGGAAGGTCTATGTGTACGTTATGCATGTGTTCATTAGATAGAGAGTTTCTTGGGTGAATGAGGCAGCATAGACTTTCCACCGGGGGTGGGGACTTGAGTTGTTGTGCTGATGACTCGACTCAGGGATTTTTGCTTGTTTGCTTGTTTTTTCAATGACTTGGACTTAACTCGCAACTCAGAACTCACCCACCCCTCCTTTTTTCTGGGGAAAAAAAGCTTATTTTTAATAGGGACTCAGGACTTGGACTCAGATTTGGGACTAAAATCCAAAGACTTGCTGACATCGCTGCTTGACACCATAGGCAGATTTTCCTGTTGCCTCACAATATTCTTCAGTAATGCAAGTTCTCATGTTTGCTTTTAAATGTTCAGTCAGTAGATGACTGTTGTGTATTTGAACCAACCACAGCTTTATGCCACCTTCATTTTCAGCTCTACTGTTATACAGATAGAGAAGTTCTTACTTACACTGCTTTGAAACTGCTCTACAAGTCTTTTCATTGGTCTTTCTACAGCTGTGACTGGAACTGTTATAACATGAAATATATCTTGTCCATTTCACAACAACGGGGTGTGAAACGAACAGCAGAACTATCTGAAAAAGACGAAGACGTGCAGAGTTTGGAAGACTCCAGCGGTGACTCTGTAATGGAAGAATCAGCTGCACTTCCATGAAAAACATTTATATCTGTTTTTCAGGACTGTTTTTGTTAATGATGCAGTAATTTAACAGTGGTATTCACTGGGACCTGAACAGCCCTCATAGTGGCTTATTTTGTACAGGTGACATGAATGTGATTAGAACTAAGCATGCTGTACCTTTTTTATTCAAATTATTATCTTGCTCTTTCTTTCTGTAACAAATGCAATATGTACTTTCTTAATGCTGTTAGATCTGAGCCTCCCCCCCCGTCAGCTCCAGAGAAAACATATTAAAGTACATCAGTCTTACTGCAGATTGTCTCCAATGTGAGAGGCAAGTGCTTCCATATGTGAAGATTGCTTATCTAAAATTAAACTGTTAGTTATGGGAACAGATGAATCTGAGGACTACTGAGAAATAAGTAGGTCATCGGAAAAGAATAGATTTGGATCCAGATATATAGGTCTAAAAAACAGGGGAAGGGCTTAATATGTGCTGAAAACATCTGCTCTGGAGTGCACCGTGTAATTGTGTCCCTGAGTACATCATATTATACCTTGAATAGGAACAATGGAGGAAATCTGTCGGTGTTAACAAAAGCCTTAGTGTCAAATAAATGATATTATTTCCAAGTAATGCATTGGAAATTACTGGTATGCCAAGATTGCACACCGCGTTTTAACCAAGAGCAGGAAGGAATACAGTCTGCTAGATTGTATATATTTTGAATTTCTGTATCCTTCAGTGACATTTCCAGAACTAGTTTACAACAACAGAAAGCTGTAAAACAAAATGTGAAACAATTATACCACCCAGTCAACAAACAGCAGATGGAAACAATTGTGTTAATGATGTTGATATAAAACTGAATAGATATCACAAAGCCTGTGCCATGGACAGGCTAACATGGGAAGAATTGTTCTTTTAGTTACCTGAGTCCTAAACGTTGTAGAGCATTAAAATACTAGGACTCAGCACTTTGGACTGTACTTGGAAATCAAATGAATTGGCTGAGCACTGCATCAGAGAAAAATCACTGTTTAATTGGAGCTGGCCAAAATCATTTTGCTGACTCATATTGAAGAATAAATGGTCCTACACTCACCATGTCAAACTGCATATTATTAAGGCTGGATTACTTACTTTGCTACTGCAGTCCCCCTTCCCCTGAGAGTAAAGACACAATGGCTAAAATCCTGTTTCTTATCATGGTACGTTGCTACCAGAATAGGCCCAATGAATCAGAGAGCATTTGGTGAGTCAATTCTTCAACTACTCTAGTGGCAATTCACTTTGCTAAGTGACAGGATTTCAGCCAATAAAAAAGAAAACTATTTGCTCCCCTTTGCATGATACCTAGAATCAGTTGCTTTAGTTGATCTTCCAAAGGCCAGCCATAGGTGATTATACCTAGACAAAGTTCCTGTCAAGACTGTGGTGAGCAATGGTGAGATTGGCTGCAGGATAATGCTGCAGTTGGGATGACCATGTAAATGCAAGTTCCATGGCCAGTTATCTACCTCTTCGCCTAAAAAAGCATAATGTGATTTCAACCTCACCTAAATGGAAAAATAGCAGAGGACTTCGTGAGTACAGTGTACATTGAGACTTTTTTTTAAACAGGGTGACCTGTCCCAAACTCTTATCTCCACTCTCCCTTCATTCTGCAGGAATGCTTTTGTTAAACTCTAGCCAAATACTCTTCTACAAACATAGTTTTCTGTGATCATTAATTATTTTTCCCATAGAATGGAGAAAAACATCTGCTGAGCAAGGCTGGTAAACATTGCAAACAGCTGTAAT